CTGAGCTGTTCTCTCATGGGCTCCATGTACAGTTACACCTTGCTAGTCTTGAAAATGGCTCAGTGAGAGTGCTGTACCAACACACTCTGTCGAGCCCCAGTGCCAAGGCAATTTCCTGTATTGTAGGTATCGGCAGGAAGGACACAACGGTGGTTGTGTGTTGTCTTCTCGTTGCACAGGAAGTGTAGCCATTGGAGAAAAGTTGCTGTCGGTGGCGCTTACATCGTGGCTCCTAACCAGTCTTCGGTTTTTCCGTTTCCCCCCAGCGGAGAGGGCGTCCAATCTGCAGGAGATGCTCAAGAAGAAGGAGGAAGACATGCGGGCCATGGAGGAGCGCTACAAGAAGTACCTGGAGAAGGCCAAGAGCGTCATCCGCACCCTGGACCCCAAGCAGAGCCCGGCCAGCTCCAACGAGATCCAGCTCCTCAAGGCCCAGCTGCACGAGAAGCAGAAGATCATCGAGCACCTTGAGGTGAGTTGGGGAGGGGGAGGGGAATCGGGAGCTAGCCGTGTCGTCATCGTTTTCAACAAGGGTAGGTCAGAACCAAATATTAGGGAGGGGGACCCAAGTTGTTTGGGGGGCTCGACATTTTGAATTTCTGTATGTAATCTTTGATGGTCTTTCTAAGCGGGGAGGCTCCATGTTGGGGCTTCTTCACCCTTTTGAAGGAAGAAGGTCTAAAGGTCTCCTGAATTACTTTCCTGTGTATGTTTTCTCAGTATATAGCTGTCCCTCCCTCCTCGTACATCTACCAGTAATTACAAGACATACCTTGGTCAATCAAACTGAAAACTCCAAATTGAAAACCTGCCAAGCTTTGACACACCTTTGCCCTCTTGAAAATGGTGATGAATTGAAGCAAATCTTGAAATTTGTCCTTAAATTTGATAGTACACGAAACAGGAGGACAGCCGGTTGGTACAGTATTAATTACTGTCTCTGTTCTTTCTTCCACAGCACGAGAGAGAAAAATCTAAAGTGATGAGGGACAGTGAGGAGAAACTCATTGTGTCTGCTTGGTATAACATGGTGAGTGTTTGTGACAGAAACTCTGAAGTCTCTCCCAGAAAGAAGTCCCCCCTCCCCGTGAGTTCCCCAGTGCAAGGCCCAGTCCTTGTCACTTGGTACCTGCTGCCTCTAGAACCTCTCGAACCAACTTTTTTCAAGTCTGCCCCAGTCTGATTCCACTCACACAAGTCACGGTCATGCTTCCTTTGTCAGGTTGTACCTGTCATCTCCTTTACAAATTTTTGAACCCTACTTTCCCGAGTTTATCTCTGCACTTGTTCACCTCATAAAAGTCCACAGTTGCATCCTGTCAGTTTGCGTCTCCCTGCAACCAAAGCTTCTATGATCCACTTCCCTCACCTCTAGTATTCCTCATAAGTTCCTCTTTCTAATAAAAAGCTTCTCAGTAATTTCATCCTTTCTCAAGTTTTCACACATCTTATCTCAGTGTGGAAGTCCCATTCATGCCACTGATTTATCTTTTCCTAAATCCACACCTCTCCCCAAACTTACACTCGACCATCAGTTACATCTGGATTACGCTGTGAATTTGAGATCCACTTATTTCCTGTTTCCTGTTATGTCTGACAAGAAGGTCAGGGTTTGAATGACCAGTGAGTGCATTCATGTTTCACTTTACTGGTTTTTGTTTTTGTGAACTCTCTTTCTCAACAACCACTTCCTTGACCTGCAGGGCATGCACATGCATCGCAAGGCAGCCGAGGACAGGCTAGCCAACTCCAGCACCGGTCAGTCCTTCCTTGCCCGCCAACGCCAAGCCTCCAACCGCCGCTCTCAGGCCATCATCAGCGGTCACTCCTCCAACGCCACGAGGTGAAAAGGTCAATCGGGTCACGAGGTTCAAAGTTCACTTCAGGTGAACCCTCACCTTTCTTGGAAATTGTAAAACAGTCCCACCCTAGGAGAATTCCTCACAGGCAAGGTGGCACTCCGATTAAAACTATCCCTGTTCACGGTTACTGAGCAGCTCTTGGTGGTTAAAAATTCAGGGCTCAGTGTCAAAGTTGTGCTTGCAATTAAAATGAAATCACTGCTTACCAAAGCCAAGAATTCTCCTACACTTAGGGTTTCTCGTGGGTTGCCTCCATTCTTTTGTAGGCTTTTGCGCTAACAAGGTTGATACAGTTTGTCTGTGCTAGCTCAGTGAATCCAAAAGTACAGTGTGTAAGTGCACAGTGCAGTAGGTTACAGAGTGTACAGAATCGAGTCCAGACTACTGCTTAAGCGCCAGAGTTGTGGTGGTGTTCAGATCGTCACACGACCACCACCAGCCAATTAGAGGGTCTCCGTCTGGTCTCAAGCCAGAAGCTGTTCGTGTGTCATTGTGCTGGTCCCACCACTTGTGAGCAGATTTGTAATGGAGTTTGAGCAATTCGATAGCAACTCGGCTGAGTGGTGTCACCACCCAAGCCCTCACCCTGATGCCATGACTTCACTCCATATAAGGGCAATCATGCATATTCACACCAGAGGTCTTAACCACTTCGTGCTGGGGTACCCGGTTTCAGGGACATAGGCTTTATACATGAAGCTCGGGAGTCTGAAACCAGACAAAAGAGCTGGACCTTGTAACAAAAGACCGTACTAGAAACGAAAGACTGAGCTGCTTGGCATTACCAACTTTTTTCAGTTGTCAATAGCGGAGGAAATCCATCATTGTTTTGAAAGATTATACCACTGTTTGTGGCATTCAGCGCGAGCGGATTACCACCGGGGACAAAAGCACTCCAGTGATGAGCGATACAATACTTCTGCACGCTAATCTGGCCCTTACTGAAAAAACGTCAGCAGTGCACTGTACCAGTTTCGGGAACAAAAATAAATTACATAACACCGCACAATCTGGGCTCTTTTTACAAGGCAGCAGGCTTGGCTGAAATATTTGGGCATCAATAAATGTTGTCTTTCAGATTAGAGTAGCCACCAGAGAGTCATTCATGTAAGTGTTAACCCTCCGCTGCACAGGGCTGATTTTTTTTAACATCCAGTAAATGAAGTTATGAATTTTTAAAGAATTTCGAAAGCAGAAAAAAAAAGAAAAGTCACTCGGCCCAGCAGAATCAACATGGATATATGGGCTTGGCGCCAAGTGGTTAAAGGATGGCATGGGTCTTTCCCTGGCACTTTTGACTCGGCTGTTCCATGCCAAGGCTGTGGATTCCTTGGACCTCACCAAAGTTTTAAGAAGAGAAAGCAGCCACTAAAGCTGCATTCTTCTTCATTTTCCCTTCCCTCCAAGAATATTCGTCTCCCGTTCTCCACCTCTGTTCGCGTCATGACTTGACCTTTGACCTCCATTGTAAATACAAAAATGAACGTACATCAGTGTATGCTTCACAGATCAATAATATATTTTATTATGGGGCGTTTCCAACGACCGTTTTGGAAATAAGCTGTCTTTGCAGGCATACGGAATGTTTGACGCGTTATAAATAAAGATAAACCACTTTAAACTTATCTGTGACCTGTCAGGAATTTTTTTTAATGGCATCATACTTTAATGTTAAACCTCATTTAAGTGATTTTCGTGTATGCTGTTTTTAATTGTGTGTATGGTACATGTTGCTTTATTGTGTCTAGGGTAGTGTTTACTTTAACCCACCTTGCTTTGCACGTATGATAAACTGTACATTGATTTTATTTACTCAACCGTGAAAAAAGCGAAGAATGTTTATGTCATGAAAGAGGGATTCAATCGATGGGGGATAATTCGCCATTTTGTAGGACGGGTGCGGTGTTATAAGCAGTAACTTGTTTCTGTTGTTGGTCCTTAGTTGAGCGTTTTTGGGAACTGGTTGCTTTCACTTTAACTGTGGAGTTGAAAAGAAGGCCTTATGGTGGTAACTGCTCAGGGACCCAATCCCTCAAATCACAGACATTCTTCTGCTTTTATCAAATGCTTGTCAGTATTATGGGGAACTTTTATTCGAGTTTTTTGCGCAGAAGTGGTGATTTGCTGATCCTAAATGCCATCTATGCACCTACAGGCTGCTTGCTTTGCAGTCTATGAGGAAATCGTCAAGCCGAAACAGATTGTCAGAGTGCGGACAAATCCTTTGAACCCAGTGGCAGAAAATGGGACAGTCTGTCAAATAGTTCTGATAATGCAGAGCTTAACAATTTTACCAGAATCATGAATGTGGTTAACATTCGTGTGAAAAATCCTGTAAATAATGTCTATGAAAAACTGGAAACAATTCACAGAATTTTTGAGGGCCTTTTTTACTCGAGGGACTTCTTTCAATCAGTGTTTGGGACTTTTTGTCTTTTTTAAATACAGAAATCAGTGTGTCTTCTGCGGTAGAAATAGACTTCTTAAAGTTCATCTCCAATTTTAAATTACTTATTTGTACTTGTTGAATCAAACTTCTTGATGCTGGGTAGAGCAGGGATGCTGATAATATTTCATCGGATGTCCTAGTACAACAGCAAAGCCAGTCAACACATAGGATACCTCAGAGAATGAATGTACGATTCGCGGTTGCCTGAGGCCGCAGTTAGCCCCAAATTAATTGCTATGAATTGGAGCACCATGAAATTCTGCCTTCCTTGGACAGGAAATTGATGGACAACATTCCTACGGCTTTATCAAGATTCATAATTTAGCATTATTGCATCTGTACCTGCGAACAGGGTATTTATTCTCCAAAATGTTATTTGCCCGAGTGTCGGCATTCATGCTACAAACAATGGCGGTTTTGAATTGGGAATTTGATGTCTCAAAACAGTTCCTCTTTGTAATCATTTCAAACTTTCTCTGAGGCTACGAGTCTTAAATGCTCATAATGATTCACTTAAAGAAGTCAAAGAGCTTGGTCGACTTGGCCTTGGTGACAGCGCCTGATTCTTGCTGGGCCACTAAATGTTTCAGAACAACCAACTTGAAAAAGATCTCAGTTGCAGTACATGGAGGTGATGCCACATGAAATGCTTGGTAATTAAATGCCGCCTGGGAAGTGTTCTTTTTTTTTTTTCCTTAGAAAACTTTGCTTTGCCAGTGCCGTAGAAATCTCAGTTTTCTATGCTTTTGAAATAGCCCCATCACTCAATGCTGCAGCCGGATAACGAAATGCGCACGCAGGCGTGTATTGTCTTGCTTTCCGTTTTGTTTTACTTGTTAATGAAATACACCACTTTCACTTTGCGTTCATCAAGTGAAATGGATGAAATTCATAAGCATGCATTAGATTTATGTATTAATCTGTACCGCGCCGAAGAATGAGTTTAAGCTATTCACTGTTGGTTCTGAAAATCCAGTAACTTAGTACGTCAGTGCAAGTTGGAGCAATTGCCCGTGGTCTACCACTGAGTAGTTTCCCTGGTATACCGTGTACAAAATACATGTATATACTGGGCACCATGCAAAAATTGACCAGTGGTTGACCAAGGTTGTTGTTCAATCGTGTTCCAAGAGGTTGAAAATGAACATGGGGGAAATTGCAGTGTATTTTCACTGTGCAAAGAGTTTCTTCAATTTTCTGCAACTTGAAGAGCTCTTATTTGTGAAGGTTTTGGTTGGTTTCCATTTGTTGTAGCTTTGTTTCATGCAGTTTTTAAATCCAAATTGGTAGCGATTTCTTTTCTCCATCAGGTCAGTTTTGCAAAGTTCTGAAGGACCTGCCACTTCTTATGCATTAACCCTAACACTCCTCAGTCCTCCAACAGGTGTAGGATTGAGGAGGGTTAGGGTTAACCCTCCATACCCCAAACCTCATAATCTTCAGACTCCTCAAGTTCTGTCTCGATTCTTTCTCTCGCGCAGTTTACATGCAGTGTGCAGGTGTGCTTTGCAAGTCAAACCTTACATAGGCTGCGTCCGAATTACTCGGCTATGGCTTAAAATTACACACAACTCTATGGGAACTGGCTTCAGCCGCTACCATCGACTCGTGCATAATTTCAGGCCACAGCCAAGTAATTTGGATACAGCCATAGTTTCGTTTGTGGTAAACTCAGGGCGATCAGTTGGACTCCCCCCCACCCCCAAAAATATACCCTCTGTGGCTCTTTAGAACACTGGAGTGAAACCCTTGCCTTAATAGTAGGCCTCTGTACTGATGGTACACTTTGTTTCCATGCATGCTTTCCTATGGGCAACAGGAGATAACAGATTTGAAGTTCTAGAGAGAAATGTACAGTACACGTGAATGAATAGTAACCTCATCGGTACAAAGGCCTATGCTGTAATGAAGTAAAGCTTAGAAACCCCCCATATATCTAGAATTTCGATTTGACAGGTGGCGGGCTAATGAACTCTACAGTTATTTCAATTGGACAAGAATTGTAATTATGTTAACAAATGTAAATAAGAAATTATGTACACTCCTCACTTGTCACATATACAGTAAGATAGTTTACTTATGATTTTAATCTAGCGACACATTTGAACACCAAAACGAGACCATTTCTTAATGTACAGTTACTTTTATTGAAACTTTCATAATGATGTACCACATGTAGTGGACTCATTTTTAAAGTTCACATGGAGTCTCTCAAATAAATGAAAACAAAAGATTTATGCTAACAGTATGGCCAGTGTCATGTCGTACTTGTACATGAAATGACGGTACTCTATTACATTGAAGCTCGTAGCAGAAGTGAAGTAAATTTACCAAAACAAAATAACACCCCTGATGAGGTACTTGAATATCACAGTAGTTGCAGCAACTTTAAAAATCAAACGGAAACTTTAAAATATACTTTTCAACAGATGCATCACACACGTCAAATATAAAAAAAAACACGATTTGTTGGTAGATCTTTCATAAACAAATTTATGGGAAACAAAAGCAACTTGCATGTGTTGATGCTAATCACTTAAAAGATTATATTACAAAAACGGGCAATTTCAACTCCTGCCGATTGGGTAGAGCGAGCCTCTTTGATATTCCAGCAATGTTTGCATGGTATGGAGGCTGGAGCGTGCCGTGGATCATTTGTAATGACCACCGCACAAGTCAGATTGGACCCTATCACATGCTGACTTATGCACACTTAACGTGCTCCTTTGGACGTGATGCCAGGTGTTGAAATTTCTAACTGCCTTACCTCAAAGTATCACACTGGCTCACAGATCACAATACATGACCTGATCTTTAAAAAAAGACACCGCTTATAAAATCCAAACTGTCAAGAAACTCTACAAAACAGCAAATAGACTACATGTACCTCCCTGGGTGTTCCTCTGGCTATGAACTTTTGAAACCAACATTGACCAGTTTAGGCACGACAGTTCACACCAATCCAGAAGGCTGCATGGCCGGCACTTATTCAGACGACCAACTTTCAACAAGGATTCAAATACTTCCACTACCCAAGAACAATTCCTGGATGGAATCACTAGTCGGAAGCAATCACGCCAGTTTAGGACATTTTCAAATTGAGCCAGCCTTAGTGTGGATGTTAAAAGTTTATTTCAATGGCCTTAAGTTCAATGGCCACCAGGATCCGCCAGTGTCACCTATCCTAAACCCTGACTAATTATCTTAAAATATCAGGTAGATTTTGAAAGAGAAGAAAAGGTTTGTGCACAAGCGCACTGTTACAATAATCAACAGAGAACTTGATAGGATTAATGAAAAACTCAAAGGATTGTGAAACTAAAAATCTGACATGGAGTGCTGCATTAGTAGCTTCAAGATCAAAGCATGTGATATTTTCATTCGGCATGCAACATGCAGCTTGATGGTTTCTCGCAATGGAGCACAATGCACTAAGCCATGCAGCACCACATTTCAGGCTTGACTCTAACCCCCAAGGATGTATGTAAAATCATATTAAAATTGGAGGATGAATGGATGAGGAGGGATCCCCCACACACTTTCGGAGAGGCCTCTTAAAATAATATAGCCGCAAACATCAGAAATATGCTGTCTTTGGATGACCTCTTTCACATTTAGCTTTTGAACCTTCACGCTCTCCAGCTGTGGCTGTCGTTTCTCAAAAAGGTTTGATGAATTCCCCAAACTGAACCCGTGGTCACCTTAACTACCCATTGATCTGAATTTACAACTTATTTATATATTCAGGACTTTTTGCATCAGCAAAACTCGCTTCAGGGAGCATACTTCAATGTGTTTCACATCTTCACTATGTCATTTCTCCAACTGGATGAATTTAAACATTTCCAATCAACTCCGTCCTAAAAATCAACACATTCACGAAAGTAATGACTAATGTTTTCAACAATTTAAAAGTGACTTTGAGAGAAAGAATCCAACTATTCTTGAATTATTCTGTACTAGAGGTTTTTTCCAACCCTCAAACACTGTCTTTGTGGTGTACAAGCTGTTCCCACTGGTCATTCAACCAGGCTAAAAGCTGTTCCCACTGGTCATTCAACCAGGCTTCAAGTTTATCTAACTTCTCATTGTCTGAGTGTCTTCGTCGCAGAAGACCACAGAAGTGGATGCACAGCTCAGTGTGACTATATCCAATAGAAGCGTTTATTTTCGGGGACGTAGAGGTCTCTTCAAAGCCTTAAAAGATCCCCAACCGCTGTCGGGGGGGGGGGGCAGAGGTTCTTGTTGAGCTCCTGGATCAGCAGTGGCTATTGCTCTGCACTCCCATTCTTGGTATAATTCTCTACAGGGGTTGGTGGTTCCCCTCTGTTTGACATCTGCACCTGGACAGTCTCAGTGTCTTCACGGACGTCTGAAAATGTGGCCAATCCAATCATTTTATTTTCAATAATCTTCACGGCAGGGTCTAGAAGGTACTGATATATGCCTGTCATTTCATACGTTAATCAACTACAAAGCTACTGACAGCACTGCCGCTGTTTTATGAACTAATACTACTCTTAACTAATGAAACACCGTGTTAAAGAAAGTTCAAGATGAAAGCTCATTTTTCTCTGCCGATGAAACGTTAATCCACACGTGAGGGTTAACTGGGCATACCATAGTCAAGTCCATCACATTTTTACAAGTGGTCGAGTCTGAAATCAAGCTGCAAGATCTTCAAATGGTCAGCGACAAAAGAGATACTGAAATTGTCATCCTGCCACTTGTGACTGGGTTTGTGAAGGGACTTGTGACTAGTCTTGTGACAGAGTCGACTACGGCCCTGGTGCAGTGGAATGAACTAGCTGGTTTAGTCTGTTAATGAGGTTAGACAGAGAGTTGTGCTTTGATTCAGGGAAAATTTGAAATTGGAAATTTGAAATTGGAAGTTTTAATTTGAAAAACTACGTAAAAGGGGGACCACAGAACATAAAATATAAATCTCTGCAACATCTTTTCATTTTCACTCTCCAAAAAAAAAAAGTAAACTCATGAAGCTTTCATCTGAAAAACAGATTACCAACATACATATATCCGACTGTGTCTAACCCATGCACTAAGGATTCTTAAAATGATTTTATCATCCCAACAAAACAACGGGACTTTATGAAAGGCAAAAGGTGGGAAGTTTTCACATCAAGTTCTAAAATATTTGCCACCATCACAGAGAAAAACGGTTGTTTCTCTTTGATGAAAATGTGAACTTATGATGCCAACACGCATCACACCGCTCTAGCGAAAGCAGGCTTTACACGGGGTTCAATTGTAACTTTAGGGGGACAGGGTGGGGACGGTAGAAATTGCTTTCAGAAAGTGGAAACGGTTACTCAAAGGAAAGAAAATGTTTTGTATCTCATTCATTAGCACTTTCTTGCCAGAAAGAATCAATTATTTGAAATTAAAGGGCAGGAAAGGGAATTTTCAAGTGTGAATGCCCACAACACACAAGTAACTTTACATCAATTTTCCTAAGTATTCATAAAAATAGACCTCTGAAAAAATGCAACCTTAAACAAATATCTTGGTATTTACACTGCAAAATATAAAATAAGAAATATTTAGATTTAAAAGTGGCTTTATTTGTAAATTTAAAAAACCTAGTTATACTTTCTTAGAAATGATAACACTTGAATTGTGGCCTTATTTTTCCCCCATAAATCATTTTCAGGCTATATCCATGGCTATATCCAGAGGCTATATCCAAAATGGCCTTCATGAGCTACGGCCCTGTTTGTTATAGGTATGCGCCAATACATTTGGAGTGGAGAAGGACTAGTTCTCAAGTTAGACATGCAACTGGGATGTGTCCATCTCGCACCATTGGGAAGAAGTGTCATGAGTTGTCTGCATTTTTAATTGCAGAATGCAAGCAGTGCGAGGAGTCGTTTTCCCAAAGATGTTCTTTTTAGCCCCCAACTTTAAGAGGGCTTTGTTTTCGGCACGAGACCTAAACTGTCCCGTGAACAATAATTTCTGAAACTTGTCAGGCAAGTGAAGACATCTATTGTGAGGAATTCTCCTGGGTTTCAGTTCATTCCAATGAAGGACTTTGCTGTCATGGTTATTCATAGTTCACTCTCATGTGTTGAACTGCATGTGAAGCACAAATCAATGGGAAAAGTCAGCACAATTACATGGTCCATTTGGCCTACCCGTCTCACAAAAAGGGACATTTCATGGGAAGGGCATGTTTGATTTTCATAAAACTGGAGGCAAATCGATCACAAACCATCAGTGTAATCTCTCTAGAATACTCACAATGATAATAAACCATACTGCAGTGATATCACATAAACGCTGAACATTTTTAGGGTTAGGAAGGGCAACGACCCCTGAGGTGTATGAGAAGTTAAACGGATATTAGCACTAGGGCTTAGGCATTTATCAAGCACCTGTTACTTTGTACACGACAATCCTACACATCGTCAAATTATGCCTCTTCATTTATGAACACTAACACTTCAAAACTTGTGTGGCTTCATCAGGCAATCAAATATTACCCCAAACCCTCAATTCTGGTGTCACCTGCCATCAAATGCTCAAATAGCACCCTCTCTTGATTCTGGCAGACGAATGAGTTGCAACATCCTACTGAATGTATTTTTTTTCCCCAATCAGATGTCTTGTATTGAAGGCAATGAATGCCGAGTTTTAACAAGCAAGTTTAACTTCACAATTCAACTGAAGTCTGGCTCACTGGCTGATGTCACCAGTGCGCGTGACTGATACGGATATGTTACCTGTCTGATATCATGTGACCATCAGAGACATTTACCTGCCTTGAGCTAACACACTCCTGAGAGAAGATATATATTTTTTTACTGCTTGGAATCTGTACAGAAACAAGGCAAGAAGCAAAGAAGAAAGAGTGATGCCAGACCACCAACGGAACCTCTGTGAATGAGTCGGTGATGGTATTTTCACATTAGTCTGTTATCAGGTGCTGTACACACCACCTCTGTGCATTAAAACTGTCACTTTAACTCAAACCTTTTCCCAAACTATTGGTCACTTTAGTCAAAGAGATAGATTTAATCCACAGTAGCGGTCTGTACAGCACATGACAAGAGACTCATACGAAATCCCTTCACCAACTCATTCACTGAGGCCTTGTGCTGAATAATTCAGCAGTAGCTAAAGCGTAAGCTATTTGGCAAGTCAGAGCATCCAATTTGTCAAACAGGTTTTCAAAGCTTGTGTTCCATTTACAACGCAGTCTGCAGTATGATGCCATCTCAGTAATGACTTTTAAATCTATCCATCATCTTCTTTTGCAACCGCTCCCCATAAAAAAACCACACGCACACAAAGTTATCGCAGGAATAAATACAAACATAAGCCCCGAAAAGAGAGTTGGTGAAGGCAATCATGGTGGTTGGTTGTGAATTGAATGGTAAACTACTCTTTTCTCAATCAGTACATGTGCTTTCATCGTAATAAATTCAATTATCGCAGCTATTGCCTTGACTGCACTCTATCAAAAACACATATTCTGACTTTCAAGGTCCTATGTTAGGAATCGAGCTGTCTCGTTAGACTACATGGACTGCATACAAAGGCTTTTCATAAAACCAAACAAAAGACAGTTATGTTTTCAGAACCCTTGAAAAAGTAGGGAGAGTAAGTGGGAAAAGAGAGGGCCTAACAATTTTTTCAGGCAAAATATGTTTGGGTGGGATTTTAAATTCTTTCAGAATACTCAAAGACACAGCTTTGCTCCTTCACAACTTCTGACTGGAATGCACAGGCACAATTGACAGTCTAAAAGTTAGAAGTGCCGGGACAAAAATTGTCAGCCTGATTCCAACCATATGACCTCACTGTAGGCGCTAGCCTAAGAAAAGGAACTCAACTCTAATACTGTTAAAAGTACTATTATCATATTGAATGAAAGAAAAATGGTTAAGCCTGTAGCCTGAGGCCGTTTGATATATGTACAGGGAAAAAGAATCTGTGATCGTGACATGGACCGATATGGAGACAATGTCTGGAAACGAGAAATGGCTTGTTGATTGCACTCAATGTGACAGGTCAAGCTGAATGAGTGAAGTCAGAGAACTGTGGAATACTTGTAAACAGAGTATCTGAAGGATAAATGCATGACTGGCTTTGAACACGCCAGATAACAAGTTCGTGACGCATGCCCAGGGGTTGATTTGCAATTCAGGTTAATGCCAGTGATGGAAACCTTGAAAATGTTGACAACTAATGTGCCTATCAGGTTATGCACGACAAAACTGTATCTACGGCGCATTTGTGAGAGGCCGATGGCAGCCCTGACTGTGTCAATGGCCATTTTCTTTAGAAAAACACGATGACTGAAGACGAACTTCAAATAGAGAAGCGAGGGTGTGGGTGAAGGTATCGGGGTACATGATAACCCGTTAATTGCTCTCCAGCCTCTTAACAGTTGCTAACTCTTTATTTTGAAGGGGGGACGTTCGTTTATCCTTTTTTTTCTTAAGAAGAGGTCCTTCTACATATTATTCAAATGATGTGAAATGTTTGCATTTCTGTGTAAATGTTTTTCTAAAATCCCCCTTCGCATTTTGACCACACTGTGAATTTGTCACATTTCCAAGAATTTTGTTTTCCTCACAGGGGAGGGAAATTGCTGCTAGACAGTGGAATCTCTTTAATAACTAACTGATAATGTATGGCACTGATAAACTTACATGTGTATGCAATGCATGTGCAGGTGGAGCCATGCCCTCCCCCACACCCTCTGCCTACCGGTCTGACAGGGCATCAACAACTGTTTCATGAATGGAAGAAACTGGCATCTTATCTGACGCCATCATGTACAAGAATACACAACTGACATCACCGCTGCGTCATGAAATGGAACAACGTACCTACTGCTATTTCATGAATGCCGTTAACTAACGACTCCTCTACTGTTTAAAATACGGCTGTGACAATACTGAAATTTTTTTCGGGAGAATGGCAAGTGGGAAATATGCGACAGAAGGGTCACTACACCACGTTCACTGTACCCTTTTCAGATTTACCAGCTCCTTGATCTCCCGACGTTGTCTTTGGGGGTGCTTGTTTATCAACAAACGTAAAATAGGAGTAGACCACACTTCCGGCAACACTGCAAAGACAGACAGAGCGCGTCGACTGTGTTGAGAATGGGTGCACGCCATAAATGTTTCTTAGACACACCTTTTGTGGGACTTTATATTCCTTCAAGGTATGAATATCCCTTAAAACATATTGGAAAGTGCAGTCTTATACAGATACAAAAATCAGTCAATACAATACAAACTTAAAAGGCACCGAAATGGCAGCTAAACTAGCAAAACTGAATTTGAAATTACGGTTGATAATTGAGAAGCAAAGGTGTATTTTCAGGGGTTGCATTTTAAAATACTGCATTGCTTATTACCATTTACATGTACATGTAGAGACGTTTTTCCTCTTGGTGTGCACAGAAATGGGACACTCGAGACAATCAGGCAAAATGTTCCAGACCCTAAAAAGTGGCATTTGGTATTTCAGAAAGGGGGAAAAAATAAAATCCTCAATGTTTGCGAGGATCTGCCTGAGATTTAACTTATTCAAGGTGGTGTCTTTGAAATATGTACCTTATGTTCAGCCCGATGAAGTTGATTAAGCTGAAAATGTAATCTCCTCCGAAAACCATGCCGATGTAGGTTATCATTACATTCTACAAAATACAAATAAAGAAACACAGCAATGTGCAGCAAGTTGACATGAGAAAAGGCCAGCTTCAAAATTGTGAACAGCAGTGCTTTTTGCAAAGATTTGCGCAAGCTTGGATGACCATGGACGATGGGAACAGAAAAACACTCTACACTGAAAACGAATGAGATGCAAGGCATTTTAAATTATTCAAAATGTGTAATATTTATCTGAAATCCAACACATTATTCAATTATTATTATTAAACTTATTAATTATTAACCTTAACTTACCCAGTAATTTTGCTTGGAATAGTTCTGAATTTTCCTAAAATCCTTGACTTTTTCAAGCTGCAATAAGGTTCAAAGTAAAGCAACAGGTGGCTGGGCTCTGCCTCCAAAAACCTGGCCAAGTTTTTAATGATGTGGGGGGGGGGTGTTGGTTGGTTGGTTTAGGGATCAATATGGACCGCTGGATGCTTGACATTCCCACTAACCCGCTCTGAGCGGAACAAAAGAGGGCATGTTTTTTTGGTAATCACCGCATAGGCGCTGAGTACGTGTAACTAATTTACTCCACCTTGTATGGTCTTTGCGTACACGCAGAAGGCGTGCAAGAACCCGCTTGTAACCACCTGTCTTTCTTTTGCCGAATGGGGGTGCACTTCAGCTCGGGGCAGGTACCAACGATAAGCAAATTTGACATTAAAATTAAAGGAGTATGCATCAGGAGGATTGTAAACGGCGTACCTTCACACAGCCAACAATTGTGGTAGTCAAAGCCGAGTTGTATGATGTACATAATACCACAGAATAAATTAACAGAAACCTGGAACAGAGAAAACATGAGAGATACAAAAAGTTGAAATTTTTAATCTCACTGTTCCTTATCAACATTTAAAAATGCAGATTTTTTGTGTCAAGGTACGTGGAATGCTGTTGTACACACTGAAATCAAACTGAAATCTGAGAATTCAAATCTGAATGTAAGTTTTCCTGAGAGGATAAGGTAAAAGACGTCTCAGCAAACTTAGAACCATAATACTGCTCAATATTTGTTGGCCTCCGAGGACAACATCAGCACAGGGTATTTTCAGCACATCCTAGCAGTCAAGGGCCTCATCTAAATCACTTGCCAGGAACGACATGTGAGTATATGGGAAGTGGACGAGGCTGCTGTCCCCTCCGAGCGGGAACGGGAGAGGGTGCCATTTTGCATAGAAACGACGCCCCTCAGGAGGGAATTTAAGGCATGTGCGCGCACAGGTTGATGGACACTCAGCACTGTGCCACACTGAGCGGCAACAACCTATGTGCCATCTTTGCAAGTGCGCCAAGCATGAGCGTGAGGTCGAAAAACTTCCGACCGGACTGTCTCTTCTTTGCCGACGAGGGGGCACCTCTAGTGAAAGCGGACTTGACTTACCCTATTACGGAAGACAAGATAAACTGTACAACAAAGCTGGGATCGTTCCACAATGGATAGTCCTGCACTTTGTCTATATCACCAGAGTAGTAGCAGATACCAAGGGCTGGAAGAACCATGAAGACGGCGTTGTAATACAAAAGGCCGTACTTTCCCAATTCCTAAAAAGAAAGCAGAATGCAAGAACAACTCGCTGATGAAGCTTTACATCTTGGGCGATTCGTTCTGCATAAGAATAATAGCTTACAGCTGACATTCTAATCTGGGGTGACAAAGTTTATCAACTTTATGCGTGAACTGTGGGTCAAGTTTAAAAGCATGGACTACAGTTTGACCACTTACATACCCTACAGCAGAACCATTTCATAAAATCTCAGAGTTGCTCAAATTTTGCCTTTGCTTGTAACTCTTGCAACATCCATAGTTAATGACAAGCAATAATACGCCAGCAAAGAAAATCTGGACCACACTGAAACTTATTCCTGTGAAAATCTTGTTAATCTTGTTTGCTGTCTCACAGGGATTTTGACAGATATTTTTTGGTCTCACCTTTGAGTCTAGCTTTTTCTTTATGAATACCCCATTTGCAGCGGTAAAAAAGTCATTCATGAGGATGTAGAAATATCCTAAGCCGTCGAATGCCAAATCCCCACTGTGGAGAGATCGGTACAGAATTACAGCCGGATTACAAACTGATCACGGTTAACATGGACCATTCTAAAAGACATGCAGTCATACTGAAAGCAAGACATGCTCAGCAGGGTTAGAAAGAGAGACGGGGCGGAAGTTCTTACCTGGCTGCGACAAATGCACCAAGAATCATGGTGCAGACTACTATCTGTACCCTCAGGGAGGCTTTCTGTCTGTTTTAATTAAAAAAAATTTGTTTTGAAAATAGTGAATTTTTGTTTCTAAGCTAGTTGAGAAATTTAGTTCTGGAGCTATGCCTGGTTTAAATATATTGGACCACATCACTCCAGCCTCCTTTATATCAAGAACAGTCCTTTTCTTACTGCTGTATTAAGCAACACCTCAATTGTCCATAAATTCTTTCAAATTCCTGTAAGGGCCATTTTAAACAGTGAATGTGGAAACATTTTTCTTACATTCTGTTTTTCACTTACCCTAATACAAGGTACTCCCCTATCATGGTAAATAAAATTGAGAATCGTCGCAGCACTGTGAACATTGGCAAGCTGTCAAAAAAAAAAGGCAGACGAATGGAAACAGTGTCATTGCTGGAAACAATAGCATGCAAGTTCATGGTCATTTTAAAGCTAGAATACCCATCTCCCCAAGTTAAGAAGATGGGAAAGGAATTTATGCAGATGGAAAGTTGAACAGACTTACTTTAATCTCTTTGTGCTTCCAAGTCCAAAACAGAGATTCCCAATGTAGATCAGAGGAAGTGGCCATATCTAGAAATCAAGAAAAAAGGAAAGAGAATGCCTACAGATGGAAGACTTTGGGAGATCATGGTGGAATCATGCCGCCCATCATCCTGGGCATTTTTTTTTTAAGCAAGGTTCCCAAAACTTTGAAAGTCCATTCCATGCAGGGATCCAATAGAAGCAACTTTTGTAGACCCAATGAATTGTTAAAAGATTACATAACCAGATGATGCATTTCTAGCCAAAATACCCTGGAGGGTTAGGATGAACATATGCATAGCAGACGTGTACCATGAATTTGTCTATATGCATAAATATGAATAAATCTAAAACTTGGGGAAATAATTCATCCCTACAGAGGGTTTGCATGGCTGCCATCTTGCAGGCCAGTGCATTTGTGCAGAACATGAAATCCAAATCCAGCACTGTAATGTAGGGCAAGTTCGATAAAGGGCCACTAGTTAACTAGCGGTTGGTTTGTCACGTGTCTAGAGCATGTGCAGTGAAGTTGAAGTGCAAACGACCCTAGTCAACCGTTGTCAGGTCGTTAGGCAGAAGGCGAGAAAAAGTGGCAGCAGGAAGGGCAAAATAGCAAAAGCGAACATGGTCGTTAACTGGTGACATACTCTTTTACCAGCATTTTTCTTATAACTGGTCCTCTCTGCACTGTGCCATTAAAAAGATTCACGTCAACCAACGATGCGACCAACCTCAATGGGCTGGTCCTGAATAGTTGACTAGACTAGTCCAACAAGTCCAACCAGACTAGTCAGAGTTAGTCGAACTGTGGTTAACTCTGGTCCATGATCGAAACTGTCCAATGGTGCTAATGGCAAGGTAGACCCAACAACGATGAACATCACACTGGTGCCTTGGGCATAGGGTACATGTACATTTTATCTGGCCCTGGTCATAATCTTAAATCCGCATCCGTTTCCAAGTCCTTGTAGGTATGCGTACCTCCTGAACTGCGATCAAAAGTTTGTTCAGTTTGTGCAATTTGGACCAACTACAGCAGCAAATCACTCCACTTATTCTAAAGGAGACTGAGTCATAATTTTCCAGATGTAAGACAGAAACCCTGTTTACCCTGATGATAATTTGTCTGCTCCAGTCTGGGAAGGTCAGGATGTGTAACTTTTTGCCCACATAAAGGATCAGGATAGTGGCAATCATCTGGGGAAAGAAAGTAGCCAATCAGCCATCAATAAAACAGGGAAACTGACTTGAAACAATTCAAGCTTTGAAAGCAAACAAACAAGAACACGTCCATAATGATTTCCACATATCAGACTTGAGAAAGGTTGGGTTGGAAATACTTGGCCAACTTTGCAAGATTTATGTTCATGTAAAAGTAATTTGTAAACCACAGTATGTTACTGCATGTTCACGTACTGCCTTGCCATGCCAGGGAAAAAAATAACCTTCAGTACCATGTGACCTTTCTCACACTAAATCAATCAATAAACAGTCAATGAATTGAGTGGAATAAATTTAGCCACACAAAGCACCTGTTGTACAATGTCTATGCATGACTGCCAGAGCCACTTTTTGTTTGTATTGGAAAGAGCAAATGGAGTTTTTGCTCTGATGTATCACTCAGTTTGGTATCCTGATGAAAGTGGATACTCCATGTGAAAAATACTGTAGGTTCCTACTGATTTACACTGTGCAAAGTTATTCTAAAGGAGGTTTTCACTCCAAAGTGGCTCTGGCGCTTAAGACCCATTTTCACAGAGTGGGTCACAAATTCATTGCAGCTGCACTTTAAGTGATTCTTTTTCTGCAAACGAGTATCATTTACCTGTCCCACACCCAGGAACTGGAAAGAGGGAAACCTGTAATAAACCAGCATTGAAAGAAAAACGTTTAAAGCAGTTTGACATTGGTAACAAGTTGACATTCAGCACACAGTGTAAAAAAAGTTCTTATCCCTGTTGGAAACGTGTCATAAGAATAGCATGAAGTCAGTTCAATGATTTACTTGTTAAAAGAGTCTCTGAGACAGAATATTTTCTCCACAAAGCAGATAATCCAACAGACAAGGACATGTACATGCAAACACAATATGTAATGTATATGTTTTTTTTCCTTTTTTGAGCAGGAGGATTTTATTCTTCCGGGCTTCAACTTAGAAAACTATACAGAAAACCCACTGCCAGTGTTCGATACTTGTGAATGAATGCCTTAGTCTCACAGGGAGACCCCACAGAGTGCAACATAAATCGTTGAAAATATTTCTTGTAACGGTTTTCCTGAAGACATAGGCTACCCGACATATATCTCATTATCTGCATCATTTATAGGCATGATAGTAGTCATGTTAGTAGGTCTATATAAAGTATATTACATGACAAAGCCAAAGGTGCAAACACGTTTTTAGAAAGTGATATTTATGCGACATCATCATTTAATGTCCTCAGCCAGTACCGATCCTTGGTATCATAAACTGATTAACTGATTTTTATTAACACCATTCAACCCTACTGAATTCTACACATTCAAATATCAACTGGACTCCCCGTATATAGGTCTACGTACGTCGTGGTAGCCTGGCCACGTAGGCGTCTTACTAGACGTGACATTTTTTAAGCCTTTGCTTTGTCTGTCTGTACACGGTCAATGTCTGTTCAGTATTTGTTCACACCGTCCCACGATTAATCATAACATTTACACGTGTTGGGCCAATTTATCACATGCTACTTACTTGTATGTTGTCAGAACACTTTTGTTCACCATGACGAGCGTGAACGATGTCAACCCATAAAACAGAGCGGACAGAACACGGGCAACTCTGATATGCCCCACCTGATCCGCCATGTTGGTCGTGCGCGTTGCCTCCGTGTCGTTGCTGTTATTGAGTTTGAACGGCTGGAATTAACGTTTAACACAAAAATATAGTGTCCGCGAACTGCCATGTATCACGTCTAGTGGTGACACTAAAACTCTCTGCTATACGATTATTGTTATTAATTTATTCGGCCACACAAGAGTGAAGAAAAACAAAATAGAACATGCATATTTACAAAAAAGACAAACATCAAACAACAAACAAAGAGAACCCACTTTAAGGTGGCTAGGATTAATAAAAGTGAAAATAAGCCACTGTCCCTTGTAGGCCTACCTCATTTGAAGGTTCTTGTTGGACCTTGTACACTAGATTTCCCAACTTTTGCATGCTTTTTGATTGCGGGAATGTTTAGCCCGATTCTACTGAATATTTTGTATATTTCAAACAAAACACAGTCAGGAATGAAGGCAATTAGTTTTTAAATCAATGTGCACTTTAGGCAACGTTTTCAAAGATGAAAATTAAACGTAAGCGACTAAGCGTCAAGGATGTAACTTTTGGAACTGAATGGATATGATGAAAAGTAAACAATATTATTAAATACAACTTATATCATATAATTATCATTTCGTATTAGGTCATATTTATGACGTCTATCTGATGATTGTTGCTTGGTGAAAATGTCATATATAGGCCTGTGTGTTATCGTTACTCTCTAAATTCCAAAGAGTGAAAATTCACTTCAAAAGATTGAAATTTCACTCGAGCTTTCACTGGAAGGGGCTACTTTCAGCCTTTTTCAGTCTTCAGAGTGATTTTCACTCTAAAACGTCTTGTCCCTAATTTCACTCTTTCCGATTTAGAGAGTATGGCGCCCAGCTGCCGCTCACTTGGCATTACTATGTCGCATTTCATGTGCTTTCTTTAAGTCATTATTATGAGATACAAGTCATAAATACAACTTAATACCAAGACATCATTATGAAATTGAAGTCATAATTATGACTTTGCCCATTTAAAAAAAAATTAATCTTTCCCCATAGCACTTTCGTAGTACCTTGAACCAATAACAAAATTAGTTTCATGAAGCAAAGAAAAACAATAGCAAACAAAGAGGTGCACATCCGTGTTGAAGAGTGGTAGGACCTAGAAACTTAAAATTAAAGTGACAATAATGTAACTGACTGAATCCAATTTCAGTTTGACCACTTACAAGAGTTCAGTTTTTTGCTAAGTGAAACTCTCGCGAGTTTAAAACCTCCTTAGGAAAGCTGTTGTTGTTGTTGGTTAAATGGCACGTACGGCAATCTAGTACCCTTTACGCCATTAGCTTACACAAGAAAGCATAACAATACGTTAGAGAAGCAACTAAAACTCAGACAGTGATACCAAGGATGCGTGAGAGCTAGCAGAAAACAAAGGCAAAAAAAATGAGACGACTAGCGATAGAAAAGACAGTAAAAGTGGCATCGGTAAAGCTAGGAAGCAGAAGTGGAGGAAGCGCTAATGATCCTCCGTACATGCAGTGTTGCTGGTGCCCTGTAAGGTCAGACCGTGTACCTTGCAGGTTAAGCTGCAACACTTACCAGCCTTCTTAAAGCTGGTCGCATGTGGTGATTGGAATTTCTTTCTTGACAAAGCCTCTGAGACCAAGCATTTTTGTCAGCGCTTAGTCAAGTGTGAGATCCAGAAGATTAGGGCGTGGTGCAGCGCGCGAAATTCAAGACGGCCATTCCTGCACATGTTGTCGTAAGGGGAATCACGTATAGAGCGGCGTTCTCTCTTCGTTTCTTGCGTTTCCTAAAGTAGCCACATGACGTTTTCTTGCGAGTATGAAATGACCTTAGCAGTGAGGCCTGGTCGGTGGCTGTGTAGACGGCATTTTTTGTCGAGTGGGAGTAGATCCCGGTAAGAAAATTGTACATATATAATTTTGAATATCTCTACATTGCCAGAACAGGTCTATTGCATTGAACGACTGTATTTTATTTTTATTCATTAGTTTCTACGTCACTCTCGTTCCATGTTCAATGGTCAAATAATTGTAGTTTCGTTCTGAGGAAGAGTTTCATATACAGACATCAGTCATTTTGGTAAAGAGTTCGCTAACATCACTAATATCCCCTTATTAGACATCAGAAAGTGTCATGTCAAAGAAACATGTCCTAAAAAGTCAAACTTGACAGTGAAAATATTGAAGCATTCACTTGGTAAAACAGCATTTTTCAGTACGGTCTCCTAGGGTTTTTGCACAAGATGTCAAATGATGTCCGGATATGGAACTCCTTCCGCTCTGTCTTGAGTCCCAGTAAAATATGTGGGATATAATCTTGACAGAGACCTACAAAGAAAGTTTCCAAGACAGTCGATGTTTGTACATTCGCCCCTCGCTTGCTTGGTCGTGATAGGCCCCCTATTGCATTACTGAAAACGTGCTTATCGAGCACGGAAAAATATTCCAAAATTTTGGGAAGGCATAAAGCTTAAATCACCATTACACGAGGTAATTATTGATCAACTGGAAACTGATAGGTCTACTTGGAATTGACTGTTTCTTGAAACGGGAAATATCCCTTTAATGTTCATACCGCCGGGCCAAATTGCTTAACACTGCATAGCAGTTCGTAACCAGAATTCCGTTGAGCAGGCGCACAGAGAGACGCATAATTCCAAACAAAAAGCGACAAAACTGAAATAAAAAATGAGCATAGCTAGTTTCTCCATGAATTAATACAAACTTTTTAACCTAAAAAGTTCATATCGTCACTTTATTATATACACTTTGACTTCGACTCTTTCTCCACCGTTCCTCTCAGCACATGCACCGCCGGCCCAAAACGTTGAACCAGTGGGGTTGAGGATCCAAGTTTACACGCTGTGATAACAATTTTTGCACTTATTGAACAATGTACCCCTGCAGCCAAGCAGCTGAAATCTGAAGTACAGTTGATAAGCTGACAATGACAACTTAAAAGAAAAATGATTTTCCCCGTTTCCTCAGTGGTTTCGCTCTGAAAATTGTTAATATTGTTGTTTATATGTGAACCACGCCAAGCATTAAGGCTGTCGATGATGTTTAAAACGGTAGCGAAAGAAAGATATAAATACCACCTTGTGTAAAACATCGGCAGCGGCAGCAACTGCGACAACAAATCGAGTATTTCCTAGTTTTCGTAGGATTTACATAAGAAAACAAGTATATGCATGTTTATCTTAACATTCTGTTCCACAGTTCGCTTGTTAATTGAGATCTGTCCAATGAGACGAAAGGAACGATCACCAGCGCCCTTGAAAATATCAGCAGCATAGTAGCCGTGGATGTCTAGCAGGCAGTCTTGCATCCTGCTGACTCGCGATAAGCTTTGCGGAGAAGAGAAAAGTTGGAGATTTATAGCCGCCTCTGTTTCCATGGTAAGCTAAGTCCATCTCAGTACATGCATTTTGTGTACTTGTGATGATTCATGTAGCGTCGGGAGAAGGAGCCCAGGTTACGCCTGAAGCAGAGGGCGGCCCTACGGTCGCATTCACAGGCGCCGGCCGCGCAGTTGGTCTTCCAGAAAACGGCCAGTGACTCGAGCCAATTGTACTGCCGAGGACGCTCTGAAAAAGACGGAAAAAGAGAAAGTTGTCATTTTTTGATTGTATTGTTTTTAACCTGTAATTCCCAATGAAGGCGTTGCTTTTAAATTTGGCACTGAGTCACACAATTCATTCGCTTTTTCTGCTGCTGTGGATTAACAGCGACGACAGAAGGACGATAATAGGAAACAATCCAAAAATTGTCCGGAAAACGAGCAGATGCATCGCGAGACGCGGCCTTGTCCTCTTTGAGGTAGTTGCACGAACAATTTTGTCACTTCCTGTTCTTTACAGTTGGGGACTCACGGGGGAGTGTATCTGTTTGTGTTGGAGGGGAAACTGGACACAACATTAGTAGACGTTGTTCGTGACTTGGATGTCGGTATACATCTTATTTCTTAGCGTAATACGGCAAAACGGGGTATTTCAGGGTTGTCCCCCCTCCTCTCCATTTTGGCTGCTTGGCAGTTCAGAACAACCTCCAAATGCACGCTTTTCTTGGCATCAGAAAAGTGGGAAATGATCAAATGGCTTTGCTCCAATAGAATGAATATACACCCACTGGGATAATTAGCCTTTTAGAAGTATGACGGACACAATAGGAGGGCGCTGTTTGAAGTGGTAAATTTGGAGCAAACACAAAAGATTTTACCCCAACCAAACAGCACCCTCCTATTGTGTTCGCCATACCTCTAAGGTCGAGTTCGGGCGGCCTGTTCTCGACACGGGTTTCTTGTTCTCGCGCTCGAACCGTCGGCGAGAACACGACTCAAGAACACTGTTCCCGGAACAGGATGCACGCACCACCTCCTCGTCAGGGTTTTACAGGAACACACGGGAAAACTCGTGAGATTTTGATTTTTGAACAGCCGCAAAACAAAAATCGAGATGGCTCACAAAGCCGTGGACAATGGGAAATTTTACAAAATTAACAATCATTTCCCATAGCAAAGAAATGAACGTTCCTTTTAACATAGAAAAGAATTCAGCCCAGCTTTCCAAAGTTCACTCTCAAAGAACATACATGGATGCATGCAACAACCAGCAATAACCGGGTATACGTTCCCGGTGTTCGAGCGGCCGACTAACGAACAACAAATCGAGCGGTTCGTGAACATACGAGAACTAGCCGCCCGAACTCGGCCTAAAAGGCTAATAGCAAACGACTCACTGCAAGTGATTCGGACGTTGTTCTGTCTGCAATTCTTCTGAATGTTCCGGTATAGCATGGTGTACACGTCCCCTGTCTCTTTGACGCAATGACCGGCGCTCTTCAGCCTGGAATAGCACTGGTCATGTTCGTAGCAACACCTGAATTTGGAAGGAAATAAAAACAAGAAACCGTTTCGTTGAGAACAAATTCAAAGCCTGTGGAGAATTCTTACGAGGAACGTACCCAGGTTTGGCTTTACAGCGGGTGGTCAAACTTTTACTTGAGACGTTAACCGGAATCTTTTCCACTGGGCTATAAAAAAGTGTAAATTCCATCACATGTATTAATCCCTACTAAACAATTATGAAATAAAAATTTAAAATAATCTTGCTCTTCACTGTACTTGGTCTTCCACAGATGTTACTTTCATTAAGCAAAACTAACGAAGATTAATCCTCGTTTGTGACTTCGCGGGATTATGGCTCACAATAATTTATATCATGCTAAACATTATAAACCATTTCAATCAAACAAATTACGCGCAGGACGCATACTCGTAAAAGGAACTTTTATTGAGCTTTGACAAACCTGTCTGTCGCGTCTACGGGCGTGCCGCTTCCTCCAGCACCGCAGTAACAACCATAGCCGTTGTAATCCAAGGGGTTCTTCCCTGTTGCACACCCAATCATAACAGCAAACTGCGGTATGGAGCGTTTTTGTCTAGACGCCCGTAACCTGTGTTGAAAGGAATAAGAGTTCAGTCATATGGGGGGGTGGGGATACAGCAATAGACGGTGACCAAGAGTTGAAAATGAAAGCTTTTAAGCATGCTCCCCTGACCGAAGTTACATCTCCTTTGAAAAGAAGTTATACGTGTTTTTTTAAAGAGGGGAACGGTCTCGTGTAAATTTCAAACGCGCATCAGAATCGAGGATTATGACTCATAACGTGTGCAAACTCAATTTCCGTCAGGAAGGGTATAAGTAGACGTTGGAGTTGTCATCACACTAAAAAATTGAACTCTATTGATGATTGCACATTCATGGTTCTTTTGGTTTCAGGGCGCAAATAAAATTATTGTGCCTCGAAAATCCTCACTCTCCCTTTTAAGGGAGGATAAGGGAGGATTTTGTAGGCTTCTTTGTTCACTTTTGGATGGAAATGGTATGCCTCCCCCATATTCCCATTTTCAAAAACTAAAAACTGTCTTGTTTTGTGGGGAAAGGAGAAAATGACCCCAGTTGGCCTTCCCCATCCTCCGTAAAAGTAGCTTCTAATTTGCGTGCGTTTCCAACGTAATGAGGGATCGATAAGGGGGTCTTTGTGATATGAAACTGCGAATTTGAAATCACCTTTGTTTACAAGAGCTCATTGAAAGCAGGGAGAGAATCTGTGAATGTGTGACTGAAAGTTTGTCCGAACTCGGCTGATACGACATGCCGTAATCCAGGACCAGAAGGTGTAAGCAACGACGCATTTTTCCGGGCTTTAAAAAAAAGCTTTAACAAACCAGAAATTGATGTAATAAGTTTCGAACATTGCTTTCACAATTAAATATACCGAACATCTTCTCGTTGCCTTCACCTGTTTTATCATTAATAACAATATTACAGTATTAAATAACTTGAATACAATTATGATCAATAATTTTGCCCGAAAATAATAGACATTGTTTTATTTATTCTTCACCTTCAGATAATTTGTTCGTCTTTGCCCATTATTTTCACTTTTGCTTCTATTGAGTTCACGGGTAACCTATCTGTTTACTTGTCTAAACCATGCACTTGCATGTGTCTGCGTAACTTTTGTTTGGACCAACATGCCAGAAGAATTTGACAATTTTCATAATCTCGCTTACTTCGACAATCTTTGTATCATCCTTTAATTTAACTGTTAACGTATCCACAGTTGTAAGATGTGAAAAAAGTCTGAAAACTTTGATTATGCATCAATACGTTATTTTAAAGGAAACAGTCAAGTCCTTTTTTGATATATTAATTTCGTAAAATTCTTCAATATCTAAAACATAACACTGACCTTTAGATACAAGCGCCAAGACGCAGAAAACACCCAGAAGAAATATTGCTGACTGACTTGCCATTTTCAAAGCGACAACGGCGCTAACATGGACTGATTTACAATGTCCGTTGATTTAGATGTCCTATCTCCATCCAGTACGAGAGTGGAAGAGAGCTTTAAAAATTCGAGTTTATAACAACCAAATCCACAACTATCCACCCACGTCATACAGGGGACCGTACGTAAAACCTACGGTCAAACCAACCCCATAAGGTGCAGTGAGTCATTTCTGCTGCTATTTTAAATGCATCACACAGGAACTTGTAAGTTGGTTGAGGTTACACGGCTGTGGATATGACGCGCCTTTGTAAAATGTCAAACGACTGTATAATACCGTACCAAGAGAAGTCTCTTCTTAAAAGTGCGGGAGGGATGCACCTTTATCTTGACAGGAGGGGCTAGCGATAGAGGGGGCTTTAATCGTCTGGGTGCCTGTCCCCCATAATCTGGGTTTCCTTGTACGGTACCGGTTCGTCATGCTGATTACTCATAAAGAATGAATTATTAGTTTAACTGTCTGTCTTGGAGCAAAGAGATTTTTCCGGCTTAAAAATAAACGTCTAATGACTCTGCTAATAATAGAACAGGGTTCTGACGAAATGAGGTTTAACTAGGGTGAAATGAGGGGACTGGAAGCGACTTTGGCTCACTATATTTCAACTGGGGGATGGGGGCATGTACCAACCTTTAATATGCCACTGGAAGAAAAAAACGTGCAACACACCGATTTTACTTTTTATGTTTTAGCTCCAAAAATAGCAGTCACCAAAATCACAATCCAAAAGAATAAAATATTTTTAATAAAGTATTTCGTCGCCTTTTGCAATAGCATCGGCTTTTGCAGCGCATGAGCCAAAGCTAAAGCCGTTTTAATTAATGGACATCTTTGGCTACGGTTTGGAGTAAAAACCCGTACAAAACTCACGGACAATCCATGCTCTACGACCCCAGACAGTGAGAGATCCCTGTACAACAGTATCGCACGAATCCATCCAAATATTTATTTTCTATAGATATTTTCTGTAAACAGTCACAGAATTATTCACACAAAAAATAATACAGGCTATTACGTTTAAAAGTGACGAAGCTGAAAGTACTTTAAGAAAGTAATAAAAATCTGGAAATGTTTGGATTGCTTTACAGTTATTGACTCGTAAATGATTAAAATGCATTAATGTTGACAATTACATTTCGTAGTTGATGTGTTCTGTAAGTGATCAATGGAGTTGACAAACTTATATAGGCATTAAAATGAGATCATTATATTGGTGATCTTTTCAAGCATTAACAAAGAGACAATCATTCCAGAACTGACAAGTTAATTTGCCTTCGTTTCTATGTGCTTACGAGTATAAACATTTTGTTCGTGTACTATGGGGGGTTGAAGGGGGTAGGTCTACTCTGTATCAAACAGTCATTGGAAGATGTCAATATGTATAATAAAATGGGGAAAAGTTTTCCTGAAAAATATACCAAGTTTACAATGAGCTAGTTCGGTACTTCAAAAATGGTCATTCGAGAAAAAAACCACGCTTGCAAGTCGGCGTGTAGCCGTGTTGCTAGGACAGCAACGCACACGTATTGCTGCTCCCATTGCAAACTATGACCTCGGAAGCGCGCTATTTTAGGCATACGCTGTGGGAACCATGGTATACTGAACCAGCTTTCTGCATTCAGGCAAACACTCCTTGGTATTCTTTTCTAAATTGCGATTGGGCTTGTCCCCCACAATTTATCTCAGCTTTGACTGAGGTCGAGTCCTAAATACTTGGCTACAGCAGAAAATACAATGGCCGCTGGCAACTGGCAGCGAGCGGCTTCATGCATTTTCCACACACGCTGCTTGTGCTCAGTTGTAGCCCAAACAGATTAGGACGCAGCGCTTTATCTTCCGCATTTAGGCCATATGAATTGGGACGTCACGTCTGGCGATTCCCATCGGGTAAAATGAGCCGTCGGGCGAATTGACACGTTTCTCAATGGTAAAATAAAATTTTCGAAATGGGTTTTTGTATACAGTGTTACACATAAAGGGACCAATGTTGGACGAGCTTTGCCAAGTAAAACAGGATGCTGGATTTAGGTAGCCATGACAACGAACACTGACCGATGGTCTGCAGCTATACGCCTGTAAATCTTAAATTGCTAACCTTTCTAGAAAGTTATTTTTGGCAAATGACTACTCCGATCAGACTTCTGAAATTTCTCCTGTATGTTAGCAGAAATTTTCGATAAAGATACTTGAAACGCCTATTAATATACAGTGTACATAGTAAAAGATCCATGCATGCATTTTAGATAATATTTGATTAAGAGAGACGAATTAACACGGCATTCCAAGGCGGCTCTTTTCGAAATTTCCAGTTCTTTGATTTGTTCTTATCTCAATTGGCGGACTTAATACGTCCACTGGAGTTTTACAAAATTCGGTTCATTAAACTTCTCACTGATAAGTACGTTTCCACTCCGAAAACAACGGTTAAGTGATTTATTGCCCGCATTTCTTTCTGTCGTATCCTCTGAACTTGTCGTTGTGCTTATGAGTGGCGAAACACGTCGCTAATTGTCGGTCGCATTCACAGATCGTCTTGGAGCACAGGGCCTGGTAAGCACCTTCCTTTGCCCTTTTGTAAGAAGAAGCTGGATCTATATACGAATTGAAGAATGAAAAATATAAATACATTCACTAAAATGATACAGACATAAGTTGTTTCACGATGACCAGAATCGCTGGCGAATGAACCATTTCGGTCGCAGTGTGTGGAGTTCCACATTACTGTTTAAAGTGGGTCCTATGGTTGCAAGGTTACACCGACTTCAAAGAATGTACATGTATGTATGCCACACCTTAGTGGACCGTGCAAGAGGCCAACTTGGAGTGCTCCACGGTATTTTTTTAAATAAAGAGAAAAGGGCGATTTGTGGGTGTATAGTTCATTTTCTTTTCAAAGTATTTTAAAGCCAACCAGTTCCACGAAAATAACATCAAGAAGTTCCCAAATTATTTGCTCCTCTCAAATATTTGAGGACCTAAGGAGAACTTCAGGATTTTTGTGGGCGTGACAAGTCATAATGCCGCGGAGGATGGTCCCGTTCCCGAGGCGATCCTCCGCTTTCCTTCCACTGTTATGTTATCCATCCGATGAAAACGGGTTAAACCTTTCACTGTTTACTCACTACACGTTATCTCAGCGTGTATTCCGTTCTTGTTATTTGGAGTGTCTTTCGACTTGTACTTGTAGGACTGACTGTAGATAGTCTTCTCAGATGTGGAGCATACTCCTCGCTGTGCTGCCGTGAAACATCGGTCGTGTGCTTGACAGCATCTTGGTGGTGAAACAGAAAGTTTCTCGTTATGACTGCAATACGGCCGTTTCACAATAGTGCGCCACCAAGAGTTTGCAACGCGTTGGCCAATCACAATGGGCGAAACTTGTCGACCCAATGCGCGTTTGGAAAGGGTCGACAGATTTCGTGCGTTATGATTGGCCAACGTGTTGCAAACTCTTGGTGGCGCACTATTGTGAATCGCCCGAATTCATCATAAAAAAATCGAGCCTCCCTTGGTGCGAATTTTTCAGATACGACTGACACGTTTCACGTCGCGAAAAAGCCGCGGCAGTCTTATAGTTTTTAACGTCTGGTACTACGTCGTCTGCAGTGAAAGGGTTTAACCATGGAGAAATAAAACATGGTTTAACTCATGGCAAGCGCCACGTGAGCCAAAGTTACGGTGTCCACTAGAAGTCAAATAAAGCATTTATAAGAAATTGCAGCACAACCATTTCCTGATCTTATCCTTGGGAAAAAGTCTCCAGGCTGTAACTTGTCAAAAATAATCGTGTAAAAGAGGAATTTATGATTAGCATACATAGGCTTACCTGTCTACGTCATCCACAGGTGTTCCGTGTCCCCCTATTCCGCAGTAGCAGCCATAGCCGTTGTACGTAGTCATGACGCCGAATAGCCCCTTACCTGTCACGCTACCGATCATATTCCCTAGCCCGATCAGATCGCGACGAGTCCGTACCTTGGTGTACGAATCATCCCAAGCCTCTGTAGATCCGAAATAAAGATAACTTTAATCGTGTCAATTGTGACAGAAATACGAGCGAGGTAAAATTTTTAAATGCACATTTTGTAAATGGGCCTTTCCAGTCCCGCCTTAGCCCAGGCTTTAAGTGCAAATTTTGGTTTCCAGTCCTTTGTCGCTCTCGCAGGTTCTTTAGGTACTCCAGTTTCCCCCTGACTCTAAAACTGGGCCTTCTTCCTAACTCCGTAATGTGACGCTGATTAATGAAAGTTATGAATAAACGTATAGTTTTTGGCGCCAATGGCGTGATAAGCTGAAAGCGCCATTTAAACCAATCAATATCAACAACAAATGGGCCTTATATTCCAATTACCGGTAACTGTAGTTCCAATTTGTTTTGTTCCATCTTTTAAGGGTATTTGGTGCGTCTTTAGTTTTTGCGCTAACGTGAATTAATTTTTCCACTATCAGGAAAACCGTTGAATCTATCTGGGGAGAAACTTTAATGGATACTTCAGTAAAAAAGGTTGTTAGAATTTTGTACATCCGGCGTGTTTAAATTTTCTTTTCTTTGGCGATTTGAGAAAGTACACGATAATAAGCCAGTTACCCCCTGAACATTTCGAAGAGAAGCATTTATTGTTGACAAAGAATACAAAACGGACTTGTAAATTCGCATTTTGATTTTGGAACAGATGTTTTCAGTGGGCAGGATAATTAACAGTTTATACACCTCGTGAACCCTTTGGATTGACCTTTCACGGTCATAAATAGTTCATAAACAACGTTGGAGTTAAGCCTTTGTCGGCCCACTGGAATGTGTGCTAAACAGACGACACCAGTTTTCGCTAAAGCTGGAAGTTAATTCTAGCTTTACTAAAAGAAAAGGGTTTAATTATAATACCGCATTTTTTTGGTGGTGGAACAAGGAACCATGGACAAAAATTTCAGCAATGTTTTCAGCCATCATGTTTGTTTCATTTTATGTTTTCAATGAAAAACCTGCAGATTGGAAAAGTTCTATCTGGCAAGGTGGTGTAATTCATTATATTTTATCACACAAATGAATATAAGATTCACTGCTCACAACAGTGAACGTTTAAATGGCCAAAATGATCCTACATAAATCTCCGCGGTAAGTTTGTGCTTCAAAATGAAGAATATTGTTTATTAATGCAGTCTAGGCCTAAATCTAAAAAGTGTATTGTAATCATTTCAGAATTGTCAGGCAGCTGGAATGCAATTTGAATTTGGCATTATGTTACCATGCATAAGTATAAATGATGCCTGGTATACCCCTGGGGCCTGAATTTGTTGGTTACGTCCTAACATACAAGTTTTTATTTGCATCTACGTTTAATTGTTTGGTAAAACATTCGTCTAGGAATTACATGAACAAAAATTGGGAAATACCCGGGGTTCGTATTACTGAAGAAGAGAAGTGTGCTTCAAGTCAAATGGCAGAACGGTCAAGAACACAGAGAGCGTACAGGTTTACGCATACAGACATCTATAGGTGCATGGAATCATGATCCCACCTTATGATTCTATCAGAAATGAGCTTAAATGGAACACAGACTAATAATCTTAAATAATTAAACCAGGGGCCAATTTCATAGAGCTGCTTAGAATAAGTACGGAATTTGTTTAAGTGCGAAAAAACCTTGCTTAATAAACAAAGGTTATCAGCTCAAAATTTATGTGATTGTCATGCTAACCAAACGACAGGTAAATACCATTCCAAACCAATATACATGTACATCACATGGAGTTTTTGCAGGTAACCTGATTTGTCGAGCAAGGTTTTTTCATGCTTAAGCAAATTGTGTGTTTAAGCAGCTCTATGAAATTGGAAAAAAATAGCACTTACCTACGACAGTCATCGAAACCACCACAACGGCCGATGCGATCAGCAACCTGCACGTCGCCTCCATCTTGTTTTCAGAGCCTCACGAATTATAATTGAACAATAATTCTCACCAGATGGAGGCTAGGTCGAGGCTATATATCAGTCCCTCCTTCTAGCCTCGCACGTTGTCAAATCTGTCCCCCGACTGGCTGTTTCACTCCTCGGTTCGCCGTTTAAAAGAAGCAAATACTGTGAGGACACAGGGTGAAATGGCGACGACGATTATGTCGCGGAAATTTCCTTTTGTGCTCGGTGCGCTTTAGAAAAAAAACAAGGCTATTTGCGCTGGCCACTTTCTCTATTCATCATCATGGCAACTCCCTAACATGTCCGTGTGAACTCCCATGGAACGAAGATCTCCATCAATAGGTGCACGTAAGGGATGAATACAGCACCCCCTTGATCTGATAGAAATGAACGTAGCCAGACATCCATATGGAGGCATTGAAGGGACGTCACGCTTTATCGATTTCATTTTTTACCCCGGTTTTAGACTTGTCTCAGTCCAATACTCGGTAAACGTGATTAGTGTATTGGCCGTTCGATGGTCAAGTGTTATCTCGCATTCGTGAAATCGCTTGAATCGTTTATCTTTTGCGCTTTAATACATCCAGTTTAATTTCTTTTAATTTAATATTGCTATCTTCATGAGCAGCTTAGTTTACAAATCCCTGTGCAGGTGATGAGAGATTAAGGCTGCATCCGAACCTCTTGTCTAGAGCTAGGCCTAGGTCTTCGCTCCATTGGAATTGCGTGGAGACGCGCAGACAATAGACCTAGCCGTAGTTCTGGAAGCCCATTTTGGACACGGCCTCAGGTTGCTTGCCAAGTTTATAATAGCCTCTTGCTTATCACAGGAACACAGTAATATTCCAAGGCACAGTGGTTCTGTGAGCAAAGGAACGGAACAAACGACAGACGAGACCAATGCAGCAAACAGAGGGTCGAGTGGGCGAAATGTTCGATTTGGTTCGACTCCAGTTGCCAAACGGTCGAGTTGACTGGATGCCTCATAGTAAGGCCTGTCAATCCACACTGCCTCTTTTGGAAGTGGAGCTTGCATTTTGTGTTTATTTTACTTATGTTTTTTTTTCGCTTGCGAGCCAAGATGAAAAACAGTATAGCCGTAGCGAATGCAGTCCTTTTTACAGGATCTGGCATCACAGATGGCTGACTGCGAAGGTTGGTTGCAAATGGATGAAGTCACTGCAATCTATGAGGTGCGATTTCAGCTCCTCTGTGCCTTTTCCGTGCTGTGACTCTTTAAAATGAGGACACACACTTCGTGAGAAATGTCGCTGCTGAAACTCAAGGGTTTAATGCTGACTTCTCAAGTGAGTCGGTGGTAACATATTGATACCCGGGTATCGTACTGTTAAACGTACATGTAATTAGCATCCGCATTAATTTTGATCGCTTTAAATATTCCCCTGAATAACTACATAATAAGTAGACGCTGATTCAGAACCTTTCTTTTTGGAAATAGAGGATTAAATTAAAAAAGGAAGACCTTGAATGTTCTGCTTCGGGGAAAAGAATGGTATTCCTTACGTGTTAAATACACATAAATGGATCTTATTTGTGAGTGCATAAGTGTCTCTTTCTGAGCTGCACACTCCATATCACGCACACATTCCACGACAAAGATTCTTGTTGATAAAAAAAATGAGTGGAAAGCTAAAAACAAAAAAAAAGGGGTTGAGGGTACCCTGGGCCCCTGGCACCGTTTCGAGTGGCCCAGAACATGCATGTTTAGTTTCACAAACTGTGTTATTCATATTGCCTAAATAGGTCTGTTGAGAAAAAATCGGCGATGAAGTGATTTAAAAAATACATCTCATTATGAAAATGCAATTATGATGGAAGAGTTCATCTTGAGAAACAAACAGGTCCTGAAAACGTACGATGCTGTGAAGAAAGGATAAATTATGCGTGGAGCCTACTTTGGAGGCCACAGCAGAAACAGTCGAAATTTCTATCTACTCAATTTCAACATTAAGGTAGGAATGTGGATAGGATGAGACACGTCCAGTCTTGTTTCAATCACGTGCGACTTAGCAGTTGTCCTGTGGCCAATTTTTCAGTGAGGAATCGTAGTAACTGGCGGCGAAACACTCGGCCCCAATGCGGTCACACTCGCACATGGCCGCCGCACATTCACTCCACGGACTATCCAGCCACCCGTAGTCCTCGGCCCGTTCTGGGTAAGGGGTTAAAATTCAAGGGGAAAAATGGGAAAAGACAGAATTCAGCAGTTTTCAAAAGTAAAACCAATTCTCGCGCAGTGTATAGTTTTTTTAAGTGTAAAGAGGTGTTCTAATTCTAGAAGCTTGGCCCAAGAGAGGCACAGTGACAGATTGGAGCAGACCGGGGTATTTAAAGCTTAGCAGGAAAAAAATACCGTCTTTAGGCGCATTTTGGCATACTCAGTCATGATATATTTTTTCATGATATATTTTCTCCTACAATTAACGTAGATGTAACAATTATCGTAAATTGAAATAAAGCAAACAAGAAAACTTACTGCACGTTACTTTTGCGTCGGGCTCTCTGCAGTTTTCAATAATAGCAACACAGTTGATAACATATACGTGGCTTTCATAGGGGCACTTGCCGCTCTTCATGACAACGTCGTAACAGTTATCGTGCGATTGACAACACCTGCAGGATAACATATCGTACACGTCGCTTAATCGGCTTATCATAATTTGATACAAGAAGTGAGCTGCAATGAGAGTAGTGTTTAATAAACACCACGGATTTTGTTTTAGGCCCAGTTGTAATATCAGAAAATGGATACATTTGGAGTTTGGTAATTTTACAGCTTTCAACCATTCTTCTTTACTTACCAACAAACAAGGAAACACGGCATTCGCTTACGACAAAACGCCCTGCATCTTTCCTAAAACTCGATGAACAACGGGCCCTTAAAGTTTCTGAGCCGGTGATCAACACAAGTGTGATGTGACATATAATGTTGAAAAGATTTTTTCCGAAAGATAATTCACTTGGGCCATTGTTGGAGACGAAGAAAAATACCGGTTTTTTTTTGTTTTGTTTGTTTTATAGAGTAACCGCATTCCAGGCACAATAATTTAACAGGCTGGCTTTCCAGTATTGACAGTTATTTGAAATGGCAATCTCGTCTTGTAGTTTGAAAATGATGTGCCGACCTTTGATTCACGCTTAAGATCTCCATAGAACTTTAACTGTAATGACTATAATCATACAATACTACATGTACAGGTTTCATATAGGCTCAGTTTTAAGCGCACTGCATTAATTGGTTATGCATTGGAATTGTCTGCAACTCATTTTTGCTAATGGGTAAGACCGTCAGGTTAGCATATGCACCGAGACCGGCCACAGTTCAACAAGCCTTTTGCAATCAAACGTATTGCAACTGGCGTCTTGTAATCAATTAGCCAATAACTCACGACCCACGGTGGGTCACCGACCTGTCGGTGTCATCCAGTGGAGTACCCGTCCCACCTAGGCCACAGTAGCAACCGTAACCGTCGTAGTCCAGCCAGGAGCTGATGATATTACGGTCTGTCAGACAGCGAATCATGTCTCCAAACTCGATCACGCTGCGTGGCTGTTGGGGAACCGCTGCTGAGAAGGGAAAAAAGTGGGACATTTTGTTTGTTGTAGAGCCGTTCACAAAGTGGACAAACCGCGTGACAGGGCGATAAACCACTGTGTTGAAACAAGATGGATTTTGTTTCCAGAAACTGCGCTAAAACAGTTGGTGAGGACCAACCAGCGGTCTCGTTTATTATGATGTTTCGGATTGGGAGAAAATTGGATGGAAAGTTTGTCATACCTCTGTCTTCGATACTGTCTTTGCATTGGCCCAGAACGATCACATGAGAGGGCGTATAAGGTAATGCAGGGACCGCTAACCAGACAACATGACACGTGAACTCGTACTGGTACCCGCACTACTTTCACATTAAAGTTTACGCAATTAAAGAAAGTGAGGGAAGAGTGCTTTCACAAACGACCACGAAGTATTATTTAGAACAATCCATCGGGGGATGGCCAAGTTGCCCCCGCTAGATACGCCATTGTTGCATAGTATGGGATATTTCGATGTTGTGTATAGATGTATTTTGTGCATACATGCACTATATAATACCCTGCGTGGTAACTATCCGTACGTGTTTATCACTCATTCCAACACGTGTCATTTCCCACTGTTTCACTGTTTCATGATTCAGATCTGTAGGTATAATGACACCAAGGCTGTATTCGATCCGTTTTACTATGCTTGTTGTCGCACAATACACATCTTAGTTACCGCAAAAAGGGCAGAAACATAACCCAAGCGGAAGCAAAGCTTACTAGGCGGCAAAGGCTTCGCCTGACTACGCACACGCCATCTAAGCGCTCTCTAATGTGAGGACAAAGAACTTCAAATCCTATGGTGAAAGGCCAGAATAGCTGTGTAGAAGCTTTTTGCTCTCGATTACCCATTTTCATATTATTTTATTCTTTCCTTATCCCTAAAAATCCTGGAAATGTTTGCATAACGAAAGTGTTTGTCTTACCCGAGCAGACAACCAGCAGAAGAGAAAGCACTGGCCCGAACAAAGTCCTCATAGCGCTGCTATCAAAATGAAGCCTACCAGCGAAGTTTAAAAGTTGGGACCTTTGTGTTTAATTCTTTTGCTCATCCAGACTCTCTGTCCCGTTTTATAAAGCAGTCTTATCTTAATTTCTAAACCTTATAAGTTCTGTCTGGAGCTAACGATAACTAATAGCATAAACGATTAAAATTTAAAGGATTAAAATATCTAGCCTTTAGTCTTTTCTGCTTAATTAATGATTGACAACCATCAAATGTGTGTTTTGAATGGTGCACACATTTTTTGAGAGAATTTAGCTCCGAGGTGGCAACCTCGGAGCTGTTTCAGAGTCTAGCCAATGTGTGGAAAATTAATTCAATTTTGCTCGAGCAATGGTTTTCGAGTTATGCATAGGAAAAACTCCCTGCGGTCAATCCAGAATCAACCACAAGGGTAAGGTGAACCGCCCCTCTCGTACTAAAAACCCTCCATCCTGCTGGGCGTTGTGATACAATTCCTGGCAAATGAATACCACCTTCTATACCGCCGAGGGTCGCATAAACATTTTACAATTGTAGGTTCGTTCTCTTTATTTGCTGTCAGAAACTGGAGTGATGCATCAATCAGTACTGTGACCTATAATCAACGATATTAGTCCGTCCATTAGCGCGGGATTTTACCGAAAGTATTATATTATTTAAAAAAAAAGAATAAAAAAGTATTAATTACTTTTAAACCACTTTTCAAAACTATTAAACATTTCGAACCTCTGCACCCTCATTATAGTCCCTCTGTGAACTGTTCCCACATTTTAAAATGTTGAAAGAATACATTACAAAAAACAATACAAAACGGGCGATGGGTTCCAATTCTTTCAACATCTGTTTATCCATGGGTGTATGGCATTGTTGCCCAATGAGTTTGGAAGTCACAACCCCCCCTAGAAAAACAGCTTTAGTTGTCATCCAAAAACTGTCCAAGATTATGAGATACAATTGGAGTAATAATGAGCGTTCTGCCATGAAAATTTGGCCCTCGAGAGCAGTTTTTGCTAACCCTACTTGTTGCACGATCATCTTCTTTAGTTAATATTAAGAGAGGGCCCGCCTCCTTTTTGGAATCTCGAGTTTTAGTGCGACTTGTGCGAAGACCACGCAGTATCTCACGATTGTAAAGTCCTTATTAGTCTTATAGGAGCTTTTGAGCGTTTTAAGCGCACAACAGAATGGCGAAATTGCCGAATGGAATGACGAACTTAAAGCGTAGGACGAAAACCCGCAATACCGCTGTTTTCGCTGAATGGAAACATGAACGCTGGACAAAGATTTGGAATGCCGAAAAAACTGCAGAATTACCGGACTGCATGATAAAATTGACAAATGAAATGATGATATTGCCTATTTGAATGATACATCTGTCAAATACGGCCGTTTCACAATAGTACGCCACCAAGAGTTTGCAACGCATTGGCCAATCACCATGTGCGAAATTTGTCGACCCAATGCGCGTTTGGAAAGGGTCGACCATTGTGAATCGCCCATATTGAGTGATGAAATGACCAAACAGAATGGTAAAATGCAACGCGAAAAGGTGAAATTGGCGAATGGAATGGTAAGAGTACCAAATAGAATGACGGAATTGCCGAATACGTAAATTGTTAAGACACCGAAGACACTAATGGCGTTCAGTAGATGTCTGGGGTGTCACACCCCCATTGGTTAGTTTCGTCGGCAGAGTCGTGGTCTGTCGGCAAAATATTAAAAAAAAGGTGAGGTAGGTGTTGGGCTAGGGAATCGGACTACAGTGCACTCGTTTTCGTGACGGTCTGTCGACAAATTTCCCGTGACACCCCCCATTTAAAATGGTCTAGCGACGCCCGTGTGTGCATGAACTGAATTTCGCTGAAGCTTCAAATGAACTTAATGCCCAAAGGTGCGACAAAAGCCTGTTGAAAAAATTCTTTGAATTTAACACATAAAAATATAACCCAAACGCATCTTTTAACACAAAAAAGAGGCACCCCTTTTAAAAACGATAGTCCTGTTGCGCCAATAAGTGAAAGATCATCATTAGGGGTCGTTTTCTAACCTTAGAACAAGATGCTTCTATTCTTGGCAAGATTGAACTTGAGACCGAGCTTGAATACAGTAACACAACCATGGAAAAATTAAATGTGAAAAATAAATGTTCTGCTCCAGTATCCGGTTTTAAATGAAATTCTACTGAGGTAGCTGGAGATGACATTCTTTGCACATTGTTTTCTGCTTTAGCTTAGAGAAACAAGTTGCATATAAAATATTGCGGAGAAATTCAACTCGGAAAATACAATTTCCTCTCACTCTAATCTTCCTTTGTTCTTGGTTGTAATATGTATGGTTGTCATACCGCGATGCCCATCGCCACTGCATGCACTGCATGTGTATGTATCGCCACTGCCTCGCCGACACTGAAATAGACTGGCTCCTCACGGTTTGTTTTTCAAAAGCGTTTTCATACGGAAGCATACACACGAAAGCCCATTGGTGCCAAGGCAAGTATGTGGTCACAACTCTTTATTGCGGATTATTAGTTCGTTATTACGGATTATTTATTTTGTCGTGGCGGATTGCTCGGGCGTTCCTGCAAGAGGCACGACGAGAGTGTGAGCGGTTTATCCGATGCTATTTCCTTCTTGGTCTAGCTTACAAGGAAATTCTTAATATTCTCCTGTTTGATCACAACGTATTAATAATTAAGCGAACACTCTGTCCAAAATTGCGAAATCTTAGTCTCTTTTGTAGAAAAAATTACAATGTGATAGATGTTGTCTCTGTCTGTTTTCTACAAGAACAGTTGCAACAGTCTGCAAGCTTACACGGTTACCAATGGATGCACTTGAAGTGCATCCAAAATGGCACGTGTTGCTTGGAATTTTAGATGGTGCCCCCCATAAGATGCTGATTTCCCCATTATGCCCCCACCAGTAAAATCCTAGCTACGCCACCGACCAAAGGTGACTTTCCCCATAGAAGAAGTATACTCAGCAAGATATGGGACGGAGGGGTACCGCCCACATGCCCAATCCCCTTATATACCCATAGAGTATTGTTACTTATAACACATCCCCCCTAAAAGTTTGCAATTTTTTTCCCTCTCTCCAATGCATCAGTTTTCAAAGACTTTGTACAAATTTGGCTAAGACTGGCCAACAAAATGTTGACTACTACTTGATAGCTAAGTTCATAAAGAACAAAACGCACTTTTTCATCAGAGGGAGTGATTATGAAATATCATAAAATACGCTTTTGTACAACTGGCGGGATAAAACTGATTAAAAAAACCACAAAATCTTGTTAACAACGGAGCAATTTATTCCCAAAATAACTTCAGAAAAAAGTGTCCACTATAAGGGCAACGACTGCACATGTACATTTAGGGCACAAGGCGTAATACAAGCAACGTGATCTAGTTGCTGATCACGACTGGGGCCAATTTCATTATAAGCACAAAATTTGCTTAAGCGTGAAAAAACCTTGCTTGACAAATCAGCTTTACAGCCACATTTCCATGTGATGTATATTGTTTTGGAATGGTATTCACCTGTCGTTTGGTTAGCATGACAATCACATAGATTTTGAGCTGGTAACCTTTGTTCTTTTAACCCTAACAGCCCTGAATCCTCCAATTTTAATATGATTTTGCACACACCCTAGAGAGTTAGGGTTAAGCAAGGTTCTTTTGCGCTTAAGCAAATTTTGTGCTTAAGCAGCTCTGTGAATTGGCCCTAGGTTTATGGCAAATATGTTAACCCTAACACCCTGGGGTGTATGTAAAATCATATTGAAATTTTAGGATTTGGGACTATAGAGCTAAATTGTGTATTTGACCTCCTGAATTTTTTCAGATTCAACCAAGATGAGTATGCGAAGGTAATGAATGGAGTTTTGACAGCTTCAAAGGGCTGATAATACTGTCTAAAATATAACAAAGCTTTGGCATCGTGGAGTGAGTGGAGTAAGCGCAACCAGTTAACTCTAATTCTTCCTCGAGCAGAGTGGTGCGCCGAATTCCGGAATGGAGTCAGCGTTCCGTAAAGTGGCATTATGACTGTAACCCACAAGTTACCATGAATCCCTACGACAGAATGCTACTGTGCTGCACGTATTTTTGCTATTATTACCGAAACCTATTGTCAAGACATCCTGAAAGCCATGATGGTACCTTTTATAACCTGTTAAATGCCCTAGTTTTGTGCACTTTGATTCTGATTGCTTATGCGGGTTTTCTATTCACGACGAATTGGTTAATATAAGAAGATGTGATTTAGACATGTACATCTCACATGTGACCATATTTATCATGAGAAGCAAAACAAATGTTTACCTACATGCCCAGTCGCGGCTTTGCGGAGGTTTTTGAGCATTGCAGGTTTGAACACTGAATCCGACGAGGCTTTCGTCTTCAGACCAGTAAACTACTGCAAGTCTTCAAACTCGTACAAGTTAAGAGACGGCAAATTGTCATACAGTAGATGTTTGGAAATCCTTCGAGAGGCATTGGCATCATGGGGATGAATCCCCCAAAGTTTGGGATGCACTGACCCTCCGCAGGGTCCAGTGGAGCGTTCAGCAGCGGCTAACATCAGTGTACCCGATGGACTTTTCAAAAAGCACGGTAGATGGAGATCAGATACGGCAAAGGATGCGTATGTTTAAGACAGTATGAAAAACATGCTTGCGTTATCCTTAAACTTAGGAATAGATTGGAGATTTAAACAGATAATATAGAGTCATAACATAAACTGACTTGACGTAACTTGAGTCGAGTTGACTGTAATTCAAACATGAAAATAAACTGCTTGAAGTTGCCTTTAACCGTTTTGCCTGCCCGTTCTTTAGTCTCTGAGATAGGGGAGCTTAAGTTAGCTCTGTCTTGCCGTCGAAGCTTGGTGCTCCCCAAGTTCATGGTATGTTGCATTTTATATTTCTCTTGCAGGCTATGCAACAGGTTAAGGGTTGCAAATGAAAGCACTTTATTCACGGTTGAGTACGCGAAGAAGGGAATAAGTGAGTTTGACTGCTGTGTACTGAGTGCTGTATGCACCTTGTTTGCAGCCGTATCTCCCTGTGGCGTTTTGGGGTCACCGGCATATAATTAATACATAATTAGCGTTCCTGAAATCGGCGGAAAAGGGACTCACAGAAACCCATTTTTTGGGACAATTTTTCGACCATAAATGGGAAAACTCTTCCATTTTGTTATGTTAGATTTGCAAGATGGTCTTGTCACCTGTTGTTTAAAGGTTATAATTGGGGAAAGAGGGTTTCTCTACCCTGCCTCTTGAAGTACACAGGCATACGTGAAAATATACGCTGTTGAAGCTTTTACTTTGCAAAGCTTTGAATTCAGTACTGACGATAGTCCATGTTCACTTCAGGGCCAACATATTCAGCTTATGATCCATACCAGTTAGGTATACCATAACAAACTGCGTGGGTGAAGGCCAATAATAAAGTGTACCCGTTTCACAAAGCAATGCAGGTGTGACGGCTTTGGGTTTGTTGCTGTCAGTGTGCTTGATCACAAAAATCTCTTGTTCTCGTTAGAGGGTCACTCGCCACGTACCGCGAGGGCAAAAACACGCATACAGCATGAACAACAGTTTGGGGAATATGGAATTTCAGGCAGCCATGACGATCGGGTCAGCGCTGATGATTTTGAAAATAATTTTTGGGCCCTATTGTAAGCATGAAAGAATTTTATAAAGAAACAGATAATGTTCCACATTATTTCATTGATAAAAATCATTTGGGGAACTGTTTCTCAAATGACTTTGCTTGTACTTCATGTTTAAAAAAAATTCATTAACGACCTTTTAGTGCGAATATTTTGTTAATGACCTTATAGTACTAATACGATGACATGTAAACAGTTTGATACAGGAGGCATTAAAGGTCTCGAATTATCAAAGAAAAAAGAGGGTCATTACGCCGGCAATGTGAGAGGATTTTTAGGTGCCGAGTGCATCACTTAAGTTCAGGTGCCACCGGTATGTACTACCGCTACGCCATTGTTATTTGCTTGTCTTTATATCTGTGTGATTTTCTTGAATTTTCTCTGTTGCATCAGAGAACATCAGGGCCTTCAAGAGTAATTGCATTAATTGGTGGCGATGTTCAGATTGTAACACAGGACAATTCCAAGACATACCCTTGTAATAATCAAGTTCGATTTTCATCATGTCTGGATTAAATTTACAACATCCTTTCCGAGGCTAAGTAGACCAAATTATTCGGCTACACTTTGTACGGAGAGCTTAAAGAACCCTGAATCGAAACATTTTTACTGCGCGACATGGTGACATAATCAGTCCGCGGCTCGCTTACCCACCCAGCTCTTGTATAAAACTTCGAATTCAATTGCGGTGAGAGCTTAGGCGTTAACCCCCCCTTCCTCAAACACAAAATACACGGCGTAGGCCACGCAGTGAACCAGTACGTTAAACACCCACTGCTCACTCGGGCGCTCACAGTAGCTCGGAACGAATCCCATTAGTCAGTGGGTAAACAGAATGTGAATCGGGTGGCAGTTTCCTCAGACGTGACCAAATATTTCCCCAGAAATTTCACTGTATCCAAGACATCCCTGACTGCATCGGGGATCCTTGCACACCAGGAACTAGGCAGGAAAATGGGTCCAGCGACTACCAAAGTCACTTGGATGCTTCTCCTCGTAGTAACTCTCATTGGAGTGATACAGCAATGTCATTCGGCAGTCGGAGGTAAGTTGTTCTATTATTCCCTTGGTACGAATGCAGTTTTTGAACTTGGCAGGAAATCTAAGTGCGTTTTCTCGTAAAGCATATATCATCTGCCAGTGACATAAATTTTGGTCCTGAAATTGGGCGGACGGGGTGTGGCCGGGGAATGGGGAACTGTGGGGGGGGGGTTGACTTTCAAGCTATGGAAATTTGAAAAAAGGGAGGGTGCGGCTGAAATCAGATGCTCACGATACAGATGGGCATTAATTTTGTAATATGTTTTACATTCTTGCGCAAATCTTACATCAGAATGGCATACTTATGGCCTTTTACAACCATTGTCCCTTTTTTCAGTTCTACTGAATGTAGGTTGGTTGTCAGGAAGTCCAAAAAATTCTTTATAATCGGCCATAATTCCTTTCTCACCTCGAAAAAAAAGTGTGGGAGGCTGATGATTCAATAGCTTGTCCCAAATCGAAAAGTGGACGTGATATATGCCCCCATCCTCCTGGATTTTCGCCCCAGACTTAAATCTGTGTTTTTAGTATCTGGTAGTCGTTGGACTTGGCCGAAAAAAGAAGTGGTGTCTCCTTCAGATGGTGGTACAGATATCCTCGAGGCCAGTGAATTCCATGATAGTGGAGGGAGTTGGGGACATGTTCAACCCACCAGGTGCCAAGTACGTTGCCGCTGGCACCTGGGTACGTTGAAGGCTTGAAGCCTACGCCTGTCCTGTACTACGAGCGCTCACGTCTCGTACTCATGGGGCAGTATAGGCACGGACCCTCTCTCCGTGGTATTGGGAGGACGTAGGTTGTCAGCTTGGTTGAGATGTTGAGGCCTTTTCCCCCGCCATACTCGATCCAGTTGTCCAAAGGTTGATGAGGCGAGGGTGCTGGGCGAGGAATAGCCGCCAAGGGACAATGTCACAGCCAAGATACAGTTTAAACAGGCTGGCACACAATTGTGGCTGGGGCTAGTGGCAGACCAAGGCCGGTGTTTAGCACTGAGTCGGGGAAAAATGCGGCAACCATCAATTTTGTTCACTTTGTGGGTGACATTATAGCAGACTAGGTCAAGGGTTAATGGAAACGTGTACGTAGGGGTCCGATGTTGGGATCTATATTTATAACCTTCTTGTCAGAGTGTACAGGATTTTTAACTCCTTGACTTTGAGTCATTTAATGCCATCTAAACGTTACAATGTCTACATGTATATCATCCTAATTATTGGAGTCTTTTACTAATTGAAACACTATTGGCCCCAAAGTGGGTATTGTTTTCGAACACAAAACGTAATACGGAGACGAAGCTGGGTATGGCCGACTAGTGTGTTTCTGGTTACATGTACATAACTGATTGCGGTATACTTTTCAGTGGGGAAGAGGAGGAGACTAGTCTTTATGCCTCGTTGAAGCTTCTCCTGTTGAAAAGTCGAACTTGCTTTCTAAAGAATCCTTCAGAGCCACGATTGCGGCCTTTGTTCAAGTCGTGTTTCCCAAGCGTGTTATGTTGTGGTAGTTGGCAATTAAATGTCATGCATTCTGCGAAGTATTTGTAGCGTAACAGAAATTCCTGCAATAAGTTCACAAAAAGGCGGATGGGATGGGCCACAAACACGACAAAAGCCGAGCCCCATGTTGCGTGAGCTCGCTGTGGAGATGGTGAACGTACGGCGATTGTAACCATGTATGGTGTTCTATATCTGCCACCGCGGAACTCGACGATGAGAGATCGCATGCTACGGATGCGCTCTGTATTATCGCACTACAGATGTTGCACAATAAAGGATGTTTCAAATCTCCAACAAGCATGGAGTGATTGGGCGATATGAATCCAAAGCGCTGGTCTAGATCGAATTACTCTGATCTTCTGTGGGGCGATCTAACGTACGTACTTGCCATTACATTTACACAACCTCCCTTCACTTAGGGCGCATGCACTCGCTGAATGTACCGCGTTCATTGCTATCTCTACACCTTATAATTATCATTCTACTGGAGTTCATCTTCTGATACGACTCTGATAGTCACGAAATTCAAATATTATTTTGATTTACGCTTCGGTGCTCTTTCAGATAAGGAGCGAGAGTACGTCCATTAAGGAGCTCAAAAATAAGCTCGATGCTATAATTAGGACTTACCGATAGCTAGACCATCCAACGTCGCGCATTTGGAGATTTGCGGTTACCTTGAGATTTTGTTCGCCAAAGTCAAGCTTGCCATACCATAACCGACAGTTCGGATCCTGAATAGGTTCTTCAACCTTTGGAACAAGCTCAGGAGCTGTTAAATACAGTAAAACAAGCTCAGTAGAACAAGCTCAGGAGCTGTTAGCAGATAGAGAACGCAAGATCCGTTACTGCCAAAGGCGGTAAGGCTGGTTGGGCGACCGTTTGCCTTTGGACAAGAAAGCCAAAGAAATATTTGGAATTTCTCAGCTGAAAAAAACTTTAAAAAATCGCCTCTGAAAGAGCAACAGGACCGCAAACGCAAAAAAGGCAGGATGGCATCAACTCTTTTCAGACGTATTCTTCTGACCGTCGCTTTTTTGGTGTGCACATACTTTCTATGTTTCTTCATCTTGCCTCATTTTGCATGCAGGCCCTTTATCACATGCTGTCTCAATAAATTGAAAAGAGTACAAGTTTTTCCTTTATCGTTTTCTTGAGTAGGTGTTTGCATGTACATGTACATGTTTGGGCGTTTTCCTGTGGCACGGTATGGACGATTAGTGTGATGATAGCGCCCTCTAGTGTAGTGTGTGGTTTGTGTTGCGGGAATAACTACTAGAAAGTCTTAAACAAGACTGTGGTCTCGTATTTGGCGCTTTGACTTACGAGGAAATATTATGCAGAGGAGACTGGAAGATCGGGGAATCACTTTGCCATTGCCGCTATCATTGTTCAATTAGGCTGGAAGTGGCCAAAATTTTGTCTTGCAGAACACCCACGGTACATTCCACACTATTGATCTCTGACCCTCAAAATGACACTTAACTTGCACAACACCGACTGTTTTTTTCCGTTCTGAGCCAAGAGGATCCCAACTGTGCGCACACTCTCTGAAAACAGCAGAGAACTTAAAGGCTTGCGGAAGTCTCATGGGATGACGCGACGAACTGAAAAATCAAGATATTTTGTCACCGCCGGGAACTGACCAATGTATCGAACCCGTTATTCCAAAAAGGAGCTCTTTTTCAATTAGAGAGCAGGCTGTACTACTTAGACTGCCACGCTCCTCCACCTAAGAACAGACGGAAGGGGGCCGTTGAGGAGAGAGAGAGGGAGAGAAATGTTTGTCCTAAATAGTACACCATATGCGGAAACCGCGTACTTGTGTACCCTGAAGAAAATATCAAGGTGTCACATGAAGTATGGGACTTTCGGAGTTCCCGAAGCGCAGCAAGGACCCTAGCCCCACTAGTGTGGCACGGATCACTCCTGATTTATCGGGAGTGATCCGTGCCACACTAGTGGGGCTACAAGGACCCTGGATCCGTGGACACACTCGCTGAAAAGACGGGGGAGGCAGCAGAACTTGAAAAAGACATAGACACGGGCGGGGCGGGGCGGGCCAGGGAATTTGCCACACGAAACCTTGGGAAGCAAGCCATTCGCTGAGTTTAATTACCATGAAAGTTACAGCGAAATGTGTTGTTCAAAGATTATGTAGGTGTGGGCATAACTGATTTTGTTAAAACTTGGTATGTACATTGGGTTTTAGAATGGTACCTTAATTTTGATGACGTTATGACGACTGGTTTCCCCAATTCTACCTCTCATGGACACATGTACATTTAGTTTTTCATTTTGTGGGCCAAAACAGTGACGTGGCTCTGTGGTTGTTTCATTACAACCACAAGCTGTTGGTTTTTGGTTGTTGTTATGTTATTTGCAGGCGCCTAGCAAGCCAAGCCAAGCCAAGCCCAATGATGTTGCCCATACAGTCAAACCACATTTCATAAAACTATCTCATATGCATGCAAACTTCTCTTTTTCAACATTTTAGTTGATCAATTCCAGTTCGAGAATTCCATCTACACAGTGGCTGAAGATGTTGGCATGGCAACAGTCTATGTACTCCGGATTGAACCTCATAATTCATCAAGTCCACAAGTTGGTCAGTATGCTTCATAAATCTCTGTTTCAAAAGCCAAATAGTTACACCGTTACTGCAAGTTTGAATAATGCACACATAATGCCAGTTCTAGACTACTATTGAATATGACATCAGGGGAAAATAAATTTTTTTCTGATGTCAAGAGCATAATATTTGGTAGGATCAGTCGATTCGCATCATCAGTCAACCGTATTCCATGGATGAATCGGCTTTGAGCCATTTGCCTTATTGTGGAAGAAACTTCTAGAACAAGGTTCAAGTAGAGAGAGTTCATGTAGGATCAATCAATGACTTAGAATGATCTTGCAATCGATGGATCATGCCCAACATTTACATCAGTTGCCACGAATATTATTTATTTGCTTTTATTTATTTACTGCAACCTTCGCTCGTAAATTCACCTGACTGGTCGGATTACAAAGGCTTTAGAAAGTGCATGTATACTGTATAGGCCTGTTGACTGGAGTCACAAAAGACCTCCATACTCAAAAACCAACACTGCACGTTTTCAATATAGAGTACCAAAGCATCAAACTCCGTCACATGCATAATGTAGTAGGCATGAATGAAATGAACCAGTACGAGTACATATTCGATTTTCTTGCACTTCACTTCCTGGTTCAAATAGCGCTACACTTTGATACTCTGTTTCTTTCCTGGACGTGCATGCATCTTGCTTGTTTGGCATTTTGTTGTTACTGGTGTTCTGAAATGTTCATAGCCAATGAAATGCTACTTCTAATAATATAGCATGTATTTTGCCCTCTTCCGGTCACACTTTTTTTAACAAGTTTTGACCAGGCAATGCCTGTAAATTACTAAATTTATGTGTTTAGTAAGAAAGTAGCTGTGGCAAAATTGTGGGTTTAATCAGTTGATGTACAATATTATCATTATTGTTTTAATTCAAATCTTGAGTTCAAATTTTTTTGGTCCGTAGCTCAGTTGGCATTGAACCGATATCACACAATAAATTCACCTTTCAATGTAGCTAAGGAAATGCACATTACATGACTGAGCGATTTAGACGTTGGGTACCAGCCCTCCCATTGCAACTTTATCCTTTTATTTATTTGAACCAACTCCGTGTTTTACTGCGAGATAGTTTGAAATGTTTTTTGTAATACATGGCTCTGCTGATTTTCTAAGAGAAGTAAATTGCATCCGGTCTGGATTAAATCTCGCTTATACAAATTCACAATGTCAAGATGAATATGCGTGGACCCAAATGAAGGTTTGTCGGGTTAAGCTTTCCAAATACCCCAAAGCACATTCTTGCTGTTCCAGTTCAACAAAAGCATATTTAGATTGGTAGTAGGTCCAATATCTACTGCCTTTGTTTTAAAAGGAAAAAAGTGAAAATCGTGATAGGTCTGAATTCTGTGTCTTTATTGAGTTCACTATATGACAACATAAGCATGGAAGCAAACAAAGATTTCTCATTGTAATATTTTTTGAGATACGTTATACAAAACTGCTGCAAACTGCTTGCTAACTACAGCCTGAGGGACCTAAAATACAAATCATAAGATATGGAGGGCCTGGCTTTTCAATCCTAGCAGAATCCTAGCGTAATATTTTTTAACTAATTTGATGCATGACGGTACATAAGAAAAAGGAGCATGTGGATGTTGTTGGCATATCCTCTTTTTTTTAAAAGTTGCCTTGTTCAGCGCTGTTCATTTAAATAGTTCATCAAGTACTCATGATGACGTGTACACCACACTGGTGAACTCAATTAAAATTTGAAATTTTCCATCCTCAAAACCTGCTGCATGAAATTAATTAATTACTCTAACAGGAGGGTAAGATTGTTCAGCATTCCAGCTGCCAACTTTTAAATAGTAGCCCAAGTGTCCACTGAGCGCACCTTTTGGAGCCACTTCATGTTGTTTATACATGACTGAAATTGAATGTATTTTTCGTCTGAGGACCATAGCCACTAGCGGGGGTTGGGTTGGGGGGCTTCTTGAGACTATCACTTGCTCAATGGCAGAGACTCTGTCAATTTGTTTCAAATGCCCACATTAGGGTTTCATTTATGAGGATGAAGACGCAGAAAATGATGAAATGTTTTTTCCTGCTTTTATCTGGAAGTTGTTGATGCTATTGTGGTTCTTTCCTGTTTTTCATTCCAGATGTTGCTACTTCTGATGGCACAGCTACGAATGGAGTTGATTATATATCAAAAACTGACACCCTGAGCTTCTCGCCAACAAACAACCGAGTGCCCTTTAGTGTTTCCATTGTAAATAATTCTGTGGATAACTCTGGTTCCGACATACGCTGCTTCACCGTGAGCTTGACGAATCCAAATCCAAGTAGTGGCCAACTTGGCCCAAATGCACAAGTCTGCATTCGTGACAACAATAGTAAGACATCTTCCTAACCTCTTATGTGTGGATTATGCCCACTTCTCTAGCGTCACTCTTTGTAGTCGACGGGAGGGATTCTGTTTGACCTCTCGCATCTATCAAAGGGCAATATGTTTGTGCCTGACACATGAGCAGGAAGTCATTAAGTCTGATTTGAGCAGATACATTTCGTTACTTGATTTTGTGCTGCATTGCATGTTGGTATCTAAATCACAAAAGCTACATTGGATTGAATAGTGATTACGATGACGGTAGTGAGGAGAACAGTTGGACATGAGACTGCACTTTGCATGTAAATATCTCCATGTGGAACATGCAAGTGAAGAAGAATATCCACTCCTCTAATGTGAAATCATTACTGGTACATGTAAGTGCGCAACGGCATCAAGCCATACATACACATACATTGCCTGTCTATTTGACTTATAGGAGGATGTGGCTTTCTATTAAAAATACATGTACCTAAGTTTGTAAGAAAGGTTTCAAGTTTGCCACATTACTGCGGGGTACTTGCACCTCCTCAGAGTAGTCTCATTTGTGTTAGACTTGGAGAACTTGGGTTCGTTTATTTCATACAGGTCTGGATTGGGCTCAGTGGAGCCGTCGTTGGTTCACTGACTCTAGAACCTGCTAAGTTAACGGGAAGAGTGAACCTGATTTGGAATTACTGATTGACATCCAGATTCTTTTGAAACAAGCAGGCCCTTGTAAGCGAGGTCATCAGATTTTCTGCAGAATTTTTGAATAATTCGGCCTTCGAATATTTGAAACTGTCTTTAAACCTGGCCTAATTTTGCATGCGTTAGCTACAGTCACCCCCTACTGCGCAGGTCTGAAAGTTGTATATGCATTACAGGTATACTTGTTCAAGTATTTTTGTACCACAACTGATCACATTCAGGGTGCCTGCTGTATCAATAATTACAACATTTTTCCTTGCAGGCAATCTGCTCTTTCATGCCTGCAGGTTTACCATATGTGGGGCCAGTAATATCCTACAGCAATATCTGCTGTGTTTTGTTTGCAATTAACTACAACTTATCGCTGTGACCAGGAAACAGAAAGCAAAAATCTCTAACATTAGGCCTAGGTCTATTCTTGTCATCGTGAATAAACTTTAATTTGATATCACTGACATGTTGACCACCACTGGACAGTTAAGTTCATAACAAACAAAATGTGCTGTTAAATTTCATCCAAAGGAGTGATCACGATATCGCATAAAATATCTTTTTGTATACATGCTGTGATAAACAGGATTCAAATAAAACACATTATCATATAAACAACTTGGCTTTTTATCCCCCAAAGAACTCCAGAAGAAAGCATTCGATAAGGGCATTGACTGTGCATGACCACTTGGGGCACACAGCCTAATACAAGCAACTGCGCAAGCGCAGTGGTTATTGGCCAGATGGTATAGCCCGGGCAGTTCAAACTCCTTCTTTGTCCGTCCTCCATGGTGCAACTCTCTGTGCTCCTACGCAGATGAAAAGTTGCGGTCCCCATGAGCTTGTCTTCTAAAATACTAGATTACCTCATATCATGGAGGAAGGACACAGGAGTTTGAACTCCTCAGTCTATAACAACTGGTCAATTACCGCTTTCTGGCATGCCTGGTATGTCCATAGCCAGAGCGCAGTGAATGCTTGCTACGCAACACCTGTTTCGCAACCATAGGCCCCCTTTGTACTCCGTGAGCATCGCCGCAGTTTTTCGCCGGTAATCTGCGTCCTTAAAACGTTGTGTACTGCAGTATAGGAAGTTGAATATTCATGCCATCGTTGGTGCATGGTATGACCAGAAAAGAAGTTGCTTTTACTAGACTGTGTTCATGTGCAGTTATTGCCCCTATCAAAGGCTTTCTTCTGGACTTATTTTGGAATAAATAGTCAAGTTGTTTATAAGACTTTGTGTTTTGTTGGAAATCAATTTTATTATGGAATTTACACAAAAAGGTATTTTCTGAGATCTCATGATCACTCCCTGTGATGAAACATGAGCGCATTATGTTTTTCGTGAACTTAACTGACCTGAGGTGGTCAACATGTTGGTGGCCAGTCTTAGCCAAATTCGTAGAAAGACTTTGAAAACTGACGTTTAGTTGTGACAAAATAAACTTATAAACATTGCGTGGATAATGGAAAAGTGTATCAAAATCTTCACGACGGCAACAGTAAATCAGATGTTAAATTTCTATTTCCTGGTCACTGTGACATGTTGTAGTTAAGAAAACACCACAAATATTGCTCCAATAGTACTGGCCCCAATTGTCTGGCTAAGCTTCAGGCAGTAATCAGGCTGTTGGGGAATGTTTACTATTGTTCGTCTGAACAGGCGGCAATGATCATTGAGCACTTTGATGTGCCAGAGTGGTAACTCCTCCTGGGTCCTTCCTCCATGCTCAGTGGGAGCTGTGACTGAATTGGATGTGAAAGATTGTAAGAGGGCATTATCGAGCCAGTAAAAAGGAAATAATGTATGCAGTAGAAAATTTGACTGCTTTGTTAAAGTGACAAATGATTTTGGAAGCTTTCTTGGTTTAATTTGTAGATTTTTTTGGTGGTACCTGCCCTCCAATGGAAGCTGTCATTGAATCAAATGGAGAACCTGTTATTGAGGCCAGTGTGACCAATAACAGCGCTACAGCCGTAGTCTCATGGACAGACCCGACCACCACCACTGGGATGAACATGGTGTACAATTGCTTCCTTTCAATGAGCTCGTCTGGCACTGAATGTATGAATGGAGGTGCCTTCCCCATCACGACCACGATGGCAGATAGCAACGGAAGGATTCGCGTCCAGTACACAGTCTATGGAAGTTTTTCCCCGCCTATAGTCATTCATGACTGCGAGTTTTATCTGCGTGTTCTTGGTGAGTTACATATTTGAAAACCCAGTAAAATATTTGCCCCATGAACTGATAGGTCATAGGATCGGCTCACCAGCTCTACAGAGATTTCCCATGTTTTTCTAACCTAGAAAAGACAGTAACACATTGCAAACTCACCCACACTTACACCCACGCACGAAATTTACCTCGTGCAAATATGTTAAAGGCAGTACACATAAGTGGAATATGGAAGTGCTGCGTAGCACCGTGATCAGAATATTGATAAGAATATAAGATAAAATCTGAAACATGTAATTGCCGAGCTTTTGGTAACTGAGTACCTCTTCAGGCCAAGCAGATTAAGAGGGACTAATGTGACACATAAGTGGGACTTATATATTATCAACTATATACAACGGGCAAGTTATCTGAAGCGGATAAGAATTATTTAACCATTGGTGGGGCCATTCCGGCTTCTTTTTTCAAGGTGTAAGAAAAATGGACGCTCTGGTCGTAAAATGGACAATTCCAGAGCCCTCCAATCTCAAGGCAAGTCACAAGCTATTTTAATGCACACAAGCATTCCATTCTACATTGACCAGAATTGTGACCAGACCTTGAGTGGAATTAACAACAAGATTTCAGTAAGATTTAAAAAAAGCGCTTGCCTAGTGCTGAATGTTTCGAAATGTTATCACCCTCAAGTCAAGAATGTACGCCTACGTAACATTGGCACATTTTATACATTATTTAATAGAGTGGTATATGCATTGTAAAATTCTGCATGTGCGTTATTTGGCATCCCACAGTATGTACATGCAAACCCTTTCATGGCCAGTAAAAATTCCAAGTGGTTCCGAAGTAAATGCTTCAACATTTTTCTGCTTAATTTGACTTTTAAGGGCATGATATGGCTTTCTGATGGCTAATATCTTACAGCAGGAAAAGCATAGTGCTGTCCGTTAATGGAATTCTTCCAATTTCCTTTTCTCTATATTGCTTGTGTCTCATTAACCAACCGTCAGACACTTAAAAGCCAATATAGACTGTTTAATAAATTCATAATTATGCACACATGCGCACAAATGGCCTTAGCAGCAAGAAGTGTGAGGAGGCCATTGAATGGGTACAGGGATGTGACTTTGGTTATCATTTGTCTCACGTTTTCTGGCTTTGCTCAGCTTTTACTTCAGAAAATCCCATTAAATCTGTTTTGATATTAGTTTCTAATCTAAGCGGGATTTTTAGTGAGCTGTAAAAAGATCTTATAATCGTGATTTTTCCTGTGTGCACGAGATTTCCATATCTAGGCCAGTCTCCTTTCATGCTGTTTTATAATAAAGATACTTAGGCCCTAATCACAATCACGGTAAGTTGACAGGGACGTTAGTTTCCCATGCGTTCCCATTGAATTTAATTTTGTAATTCTACATGAAAGTGGCGGTAGTTTAACCAAAGAAAAGTCCAATGGGAACATGCCTTGACACCATTTTTTTCATATTCCAAGCTGTGACCAGGTTCAATGGTTAAACTATGTACGTACACAGCCCAGATTGAACGTTGTCATCATTTACACGACGACTGTGTTTTTAAAAAATTTTTAATGTGCCACGACCTAAATTTAAAATTTTTTAAAAAATTTTTAATGTGCCACGACCTAAATTTAAAGTCTGGCATTCTTCGACTTCGACATACCTTACGATACACCAGATGATCAGACACCTCCCATGGAGAAACCAGGTTAAACCGTCACGGAAGGTGCATGTTGATGGGCTCGACGACCAGATAAAGATCCAATCATTGTCAAACGTGGCATGAGAGAATTCGAGGTATAGTCACAGTGGCGGACAATGAAACACAAACAAGATTGCCCTTGGCTTATAGTAATTTATTATTAGTTTCATCAACAAAGTAAGATACAGGCCTTTGAGGTGCAGGGCAGGATGAGGAAGATTTTTAATGAACAAGTTTGTATGATAGCTTATCAAAAAGTCAGTGATAATAGGCTCCTGCGTGGGTTGAAGCATCATCAGGACCTCGATAAGTTCGGTCTCACTTGGTTTGTTGGAATGCGCAACTTGAAGTGCCTTTTGTCACAATGGTATAGTACATGTACACTGAACATCAGTACGTGTTTACAAATGCACAGGTTGGCTCCAAGAATACTAACAACTAACAAAAAAATGAAAACAATATATATAGCGAAACTGATATATACTGGAGGAAAGTGAAATAAATAAATGAAACAAACATATAAAGGACGAAACCAATCTATTTATAGGACAAAAGTACATTTAAAGGACAAAGTTGATTTATTTTGTATGAAAACTAATCAATATAGGCCCTACATGTATTACAAAACTCATATATAAATGACGAAATTAATATAAAACGAAAAAAGAAGGGGCCATACTAAGAACAGCGGATCTAGTGCGCACAGGAAAATCACGACTTTAACGTCTTTTTAGGGGCCTTCCATAATTTTCAGCATTTTCAAGAGCTTACAAAAGTAGACTTTTCCCTACCCCTTCCCCCTTCAAAATGTACATCAGCAGGTAAAAAATGGTGATGGATGGAGAGCTCCATTGGCCAAAATCCCTATCGCCGAGGCATAACGATTGTGGCTAATAGAAATGTAAATTTGATATAAAACATTAAAACAGAACCTAAAAGTCAAGGCTTGAAAAGCAGTGAATACTGATACAAGTAGAAGAAAGAACAGAACTTAGTGGGTAAGTGAACTGGCAAAGTGCTAGCTAGCAACAACCGTGAAATCTAAAAGTGACCACCGATTCGTACTTTGACAGATCATCCTTTTTCATATTTAGAAAAAAGCATATACGAGGTTTTAACCCCTTCCCCACACGGTTTGTACGCTCATTAAAATAATGACAATTATGGACAGCCCCTTACAGAGCATTAAAATCCCGCTTTTTGGATCAGGATTTTCTGAAGAAAATACTGATCCAAAATGGATTTGTGCCGGGGAGATGTTAATTAATTTTGGATTTTTTGCATGTCGGGCAGGGCAAAAAATTCAAGATTACAAACTGAACAAAGCCAGAAAACCCAGAAAACAAAATGATCATCGAAGTCACACCCCTGCACACTCACACTTCTTGCCGCTGAGGCCATTTGTGCGCATGTGTGCATAATTATAAATTTATCAGTGAAAAGGTCTATACAGCCAAATTACAAAAGTACGCCTCCAAGTGTGCGTGAGACGGGTCACACATAGTATGGACTTCTGCAAAAAAGAAGTCCACATAATGCAGGGTATGATGGCATTGTGTGGACTCGCACATGTCCACACAATGTTTTCCCCTCTCTGAAAAACAGTTTCAGAGGCATTTGGGGTCAAGGTTATCTGTGGCAAAATGAAGAGGAACAGTCAAAGAAATTATCATCCAAAATGCAGCTTGAAGGAGTTATCCTAGTGGGAAAAAAGGAGCATTTACCTTAACCACAGGAGAACAAAGGAATGTCCACACTTCGTATGTAAAGCAAGTGTTCTGTGTGTGTGTGGGGGGGAGGGCTTTTTGATTGTTGGTTTTGTCTTCAAGTTGGCTAGAAAAGCCACAACTGAAGTTTGGGATGTTTCAGTTTTGAGGTCACTTGTTCACAATGCTAATTGCAAGCTTTGTTCATGTTTGCAGCAAACTTGCTTAGATTTATAAGGGATATATACAAGTGCTTGATCATTTATTAACCCGCATGCTGCTTTTTTCAGCATGTACATGTATATCTAACCAAACAGCAGTCATCCTGACACAAGTTGGATTTCAACTATTATCTCCCCCTAACGCAGAATTGTCAAATACCTGTAAGTTGAAGATCCTGTGGAATGAGCACCCACTGTATCAATGCCTTGGCCTGTTTTCACATAATAGATCCAATACCACCAACGATTAGCTGCCGAGCCATTGCCCCAGTACCTGCCGGGGATGATTTCATGAATGGCACTGCTTACTGGATGGTGCCAGAAGGCAGAGACAACTCGGGACAAGTCACAACCACTGGGCCAATGGTTACACCTCCCGTGGTTCTGGACATCGGCACCCACACGTTTACCTATACCGCGACGGACAGCTCTGGAAATGAAGCGTCGTGTTCTGTCAACGTCACAATCACAGGTTGGTACATGGGTCTTAATCACCTGCCACAGGATTTAAATGTGTTCCAACCTCGCTTCAAGATCATACTTCACGTAATTTATTCACAGAATGCAGGTACTGTACTGATCGTCCACCCAATTTTTAACAGTAAGAAGATGCTCATCCAGTTATCTTTGTGTAATATAATAGTCTCTTTAATTTTTAACGTAACAAATGTCAAAAGATGCACCACGCTTTCTTACTGTATGATGTTTTTTCTTTTCAAAAATCCCGAATCTTAAAAATATTTGCACTTCTTTTGTCCTGATCAGATCTGACAGACCCCGTGATAGAATGCCCAGCAAACATTACCACGGACACAGATTCAATGGAGAGGTTCGCAACTGTAATGTGGTATGCGCCAAATGTGACCGACAACTCTGGGGAAACTATAGAACCTTTACTGAGTCAGCCCTCGGGATCCCAGTTCGAAATTGGCAACCACGAGGTCATTGTGAATGCAACAGATTCCCAGGGTAACACCGGCAATTGTTCCTTCATTGTCGAGGTTCAAGGTCAGTAAATTTAGAACTGCTTTTTGGGTTTTATTGCATAGCTGCCAAATTGCCTGCCTTCAGAGAATTGTGAAGGTATTAGTTTTAGATCAGTAGTCCTGTAAACTAGATAGGTTTGCGGGAACACCATGGATGTATCTCTTTTTGAATATGTGGGGTTCTGAAAAGAACTGGCAGTACCCCACATACTCAAAAGGAGATGTATCCATGGTGCTACCGCAGGTCTGTAGTTTACTTGCTTCTTCCACCATCATTAGTCTTGTAGAAGTCTCTATCAACATCCAAAATCAAATGACATTGAAGCGTTTATCATCAAGGATTACATATCGTCCATTTGTTTTCCCAACTAGGGAGTACGGTGAGAAAGATCCCCTGCAGTCTCTAAAATGTGTCCAATTGAAGCAGTGCTTGATGTCGATGTGTGATTAATGGTGATAGTTTTGAAACGTTTCAAGTAATATTTTATATTGAGTCAGAGTCAAATCCTGAAAAATTTGGTATCTGTGCATTGCTTTAGAAGGACAGGGTTCTTTGCAGGGAAAGACTAGTTTGTACTTCGTCACAAGTTTTAACAGATAAATGCAAATAACTACACTAAAGAAGCGCACAGTACAGGTGAAAGAAAGTCAGGTGCATATGATGTCATATGATTAATTTTCTCTGTCACCTGCAGATAATGAGCCTCCTACCATTATGTGTCCAGCCAATCAAACTAATGCCACTGATTTCCGAGCTGCTGATGTCACACTTCCACTGCCTGATCCAGACTCGGCTTCTGACAACTCAGGCCAATATAACATCACCATTGATGTCGCTGGTACAACATATTGTGTCGGTGACAGTGTGACCTTTGACCTGGCTACTGGTGAACATTTACTGCAGTACTTCATTACTGACGATGCCATGCATAATGATACATGCGACGTGTACATTACTGTGATTGGTAGGTGCTGGCCTGTTTGTACACTTTAAAAACACCTGGGTGGGACTGACCAAAAATCTGGGTCCCATGAGGCCTGACCCTTTTCCCGAGTCAAGTTATGACCTGTTTGGGGTCATAAATGACTTGTTTGGGGTCATATTTGACCCAGAAAGGGTCAAATATGACCCCAAAATGGGAAATGGACCCAGAAATGGGTCAGGCCCCATGGGACCCAGATTCGGGGGGGGGTCAGTCTGACCCAGGTGTTTTTCGAGTGTAGAAACAACAAGAATCCCTGAAGATCCCGTCGAGATAGATATAAATTTTAAGCAAAGCTGAAGCCGGAACAGTGCTGCACTGATCTTTTTTGGTGCTGTTGTGACATACAAATGCTATCGTCAACACCAAAGTATTTTTTAAAGTAAACTGGAACCCTGCATTGTTTACCATAAAATTGGGGACCAGTGAAAGCTGGATTTTCATAGCACTTCCCTGGTAGTCATTATGCAGTCAAAGGTTGTGTGCTGTCCTTCATCTCAAGGACACTTGATTTCAGACATGGAGCAGCCACCTTCCATACGCATACTTCCAACTGGAATGTACTAAGGAGTTTGTTTCAGTGACAATATCGCCAAACTGATTCTGCAGTCATCTAAACAATTCCTGGACTTCAATTTTTTGTCTAATTCTGAGCTGTTTCAGTTGTTAATATGCTCATGAAATCGAACTCTAAGTCTTGTATGAAGTTCCATATGCACTGTTTACACCTTGTGTTTGATTTCAGATACTGAGGATCCTCAAATTACCTGCCCTTCACTTGAACCTATTCGTACTGATCCTGGCTTGGACACTGCCAATGTAACCTTTGACCCCGCCAATGTGACTGATAACTCCATGCTGTCTATTACACCTGTAGCCAATCCAATGTCAGGTTCAATCTTTCCTATTGGTGCCACTCCAGTACAGTTCAATGCTACAGATGAGAGTGGGAACACTGCCTCCTGTATGTTTACCGTGACAGTACAAGGTAAAATATAAGCAATTTTTGGATCATGCTTCTGAGAAGGTTTTTTGAAGGCCTTAAATTTGGGAGAATTACCTGAAATGACGGAAGAATATGGAAGTCTGGTTTGGTATTGAAAGGATCCACCATATTTTTTTTGAGGGGGGCATTTAATCATGTTCGTGTTTCAATATGTTGCGTACATATTGTGATTTCCAGAGTATTTTTTTTCCAAATTTTGTGACCCCTTCAGGAGCATTTTTGGCTTTTTTGCAATTTTGCGCAAAAGGCATTACTTCTGTTTTTTAATTTGGCTTTTTCGCAATTTTATCGGCTTTTTCAAAATTTTGAGAAAAAGTCATTCTTTTTCTTCTGTTTTTTTTCTTCCTTTTTCTTCTTCTGCTCAAAAGCTCATTTGTTTTTTACAAGTTTTTTGTCACCGCCACTTTAGTGCTTTTGCAACTTTGGATCTTCATCAAACTTGTACCAATGAAGAACCCTTATGCAAGATGGTCCTAGAAACATGACGTCATGATGACGTCATCAAGTGATTTATTATTGATTTTTCAATATTTATTTCATCCCCATTGACTTTGTACACGTTTTGAAACCCCTTGACTTTGTACATACGTACAAGTGCTGTTTTGCCTAAGCGTCTGCGCATGTCCGTTGCGCGATCAGCTGATCTGCGCAATCAGTCGATGTAAGTGTTGTCGCACAGTCTTATTGCATGATTTCTGCATAATTTGGCTAGAAAGTTGTAAAAATAATGCAAAATATCGAGAGAATGAACTCTGAGATTTCAGGTCATCAGGCCTCAACTAATTGTTTATACCAGTACTCAACACCAATCGTTCATGCATATATATTTGCACGGTACCTCGCGTCAACACGTGGATTCGATCGGGACGATGTTTTTTGGACGGGCCCATGTGTCTTCTTAGGACCTCTTTATGCTCTTGGGACCCCATCCCGAACCTGAAATTGCACCAGTTGAGTTCTTAATGGACTTTGCTTGATCAGAGGATTCCAAGGCAATCCCATGAAAGGCTGAACTGAAACCAAATTCATGAACCAGTGCAAGAAATCGCACAATGTGTTGACGCCAAATAGGCATGATCACAATCGTGAACATGGGTTCACCGAGCCCATGTCATATCTGCTGAGCCCAACAAGCAGACGTGCGGTACAGCGGGCAGCTGGGCATGGAAGCTGGCCTTGGATGAAGTGCTGGAACTGGTAGGCAAAACATTCTGAATTGCAAGTTTTTGGCTGCACCTTCTGTGCCCTGTAGCTCTATCTTGACAGTGATGTTAGGGGAAAGAGAACTGACCCAAATTAGCTCTGAATTTGCACTGACATAACTTGAACTCTACATATGGCACCTCGATCATGTCCAAATGATAAAAAGGTGATTAGCAGTGATTATGTCTGTCATACACGTTGGGCACAATCCAGATATCAACTTCCACATATTCATTAACCCCCTCCTGAGTACATTATTCAACAGTTTTAGAATGATGGATTTTATTCAAAGGCAAATCTAATCCGTATGGAGTGCCATACATACATGTACATCTATCAGACGTTTTACGGGGGTGCTAAAGATAGGCATGGAACTTATTAAAGTCCCTCAAAACACTCAAGGTCCATTCCCTCAAACCCTCTGGTGTTAAGATGATTTGACATGGTCACTTTTGCAAATCTGTATACCGTAATGTAGCAAATCCTCGTTCAATCAAATCAAACCCCTCACAAGAAACCTGAAGTGCTCCCTCACTTGATGAAATTCCACATTTTGTATTACCTAACTGATAATTTCCCTACGTTTGACTTTATTTTTGATGAGGGATGAGGCAGAAAAGTACGGAGTGGATTGAACGAAGCATTTGCATTTGAAATAACTATTCACTAAATCATTCGTTGCCCATTATTCTTTAAAGTAGGCAAGGGAAACGCGTTTGTATCTGAGATCCCAATCAAAGTCATCATCAAAGTTATTCCAAACAGATATAAGCAGAGATGTTGATTTTTTTGTCTCGCGTACAAATTAAACTGAAGTGAAAGTTTTGTATGAAGTTTGTGGAGTCTGTTATCAGTTCAATTTGTATGTGCATTATCAAAAGAGGGTAGTAACCCTTCACTTGATAAAACTCAACACTGTCTATTAATTGTGTCAATCATCAACCTAGCTAGAAAGGGACGTGTTATCGATGAAAATCGACATAATGTGATGACGTCATTAGATGACAGTGAAGTCACATGACATTAAAGGTGCACTGTTTAAGGCCTATATTTCCTGAAGTAGATGTCCCGTCGGGTGCAGATCTTGCAGATATCTTGAAAAAGGAATGCTTTAGAGGAGATATGGACCTGATGTGATTATGACATCATCAGGTGACAAGTCACGTGACATTAAAGGTGCACTCTTTAAGGCCCAATATTTCCTGAAGTACATGTCTGATCAGGTTTAAATCTTGCAGATATCTTGAAAAGAGAGTGCCTTAGAGGAATATTGACCTCATGTGATGATGACATTATCAGGAGACAAGTCACATGACGTTAAAGGTGCACTGCTTAAAGCCATATATCTCCAGAAGTACATATCCCATTGATTTCAAACGTTGCAGATAACAAGGAAAGGAAGTGTTCTAGACGAAAATGTACATGATGTGATGATGACATCATCAAATGAGGAGTCAAATTACATTTCATTTAAAGCACGTTATTTTCTGAAGTACATGCCTGATTGGGTTGAAATCTTGGGCCCAAATGGTCATAATGACAGATTAACGCCATCAGGTCTGTGCAGTAGATTGGTTGTTTAACTTAAGAAAGGGATGCGAAAAAGCCCTCTGTTCTGTCGGCAAACTGACATATGACCTCTCGTTATTTATTGCTTCTGTGATAAATGTCATAAACAAAAAAACCTGATTGACAGAACTGCTTTGTTGAGTGTTTCCACTTTCATTTCTGTTACAGATAAGGAGAATCCTGAACTCAACTGTACCAATTTCACATATCCAACGTCACCTGGTTTGCCGTCTGCTTCCATAGACTTTATTGAACCTACAGCCACTGATAATGTAGAAGTGTCAGTCGTAAATTGCTTCAAGGACGGGGGTCCTGTAGCCGCTGTACTCAGTGTTAATATTGGTACAGAGAGTGTGACTTGTGTAGCTCGGGATAACATGAACAATATAGTCTCATGTGAAGTCTTCATCACTGTTGAGGGTGAGTTTACAAAGCATATTCCAGGATGTTTTGATATTCTTATTATAAGGGTTTGAATATTTTTCCTCATTTGTTATTTGCCACTGTCTATGCATGGTACACTTTCGGGTAAATTAACAGATGTGGGTAAAACGTGGTTGCATGGAAGCAAGTGATGACTTTGTCAAAGACAAGGACATTTTCAAACAGGTCTGGGATATAATTATTGTTAATTGCAGGTGAGTTTATGGTATCAACTTGCTCATTTTCCCGTGCTGATATTTTACAGACACTGAATCTCCCAACATTACCTGTCCTGCCAACCGGAATGTTTCCACTGATGGTGGTCAAGATTTTGCCACATTAATCTTGCCCTCTCTGGACTCCAGNCCTTCCATTTCATTTGCAGATACTGAGGATCCTCAAATTACCTGCCCTTCACTTGGACCTGTTCGTACTGATCCTGGCTTGGACACTGCCAATGTGACCTTTGACCCCGCCAATGTGACTGATAACTCCATGCTGTCTATTACACCTGTAGCCAATCCAATGTCAGGTTCAATCTTTCCTATTGGTGACACTCCAGTACAGTTCAATGCTACAGATGAGAGTGGGAACACTGCCTCCTGTACATTTACTTTAACAGTAGAAGGTACCTGCTAAATATAAGCGATTCTTGAATCAAATTTCTGAGAGGACTTACAGAAGCTGAAATTGCTATTGAAATGCTTGCCAAACTCAAACTGAACGAAAGTTATCCATAACCCAAGCTTGCATTGTGTGCAAGTTTAAAAAGTACCGAAATAGTTTGCTACTGTGAAATATTTCATAACGAAACACAGTATGACACGAATAACACAAAAAATCAAGTTTAACAATGGTGTTTTACTCTTGCTTTTTTGTTCGTCTTCGGTGTTCCAGCCATTGGCAGATGGGATCGCCACAAAGTCCATATGATGTTAATGTGCAAAGTATTGTGCAGATTGCTGTTGACATTGTCGCATGCATCGTGCTCTGGTATATCAGGCATGCTGCTGTGTTCCCCTGATATCAGTGAATGTGACTGAAACTTTTGGGTGTGAGCATGCATGTGGGTAGTATTTTACATATATGTACACACACATTTTCTCAGTGAGTGTAAACATTCACGGAATGGTGGAATATTTTTAGCGATTACTTCAAGTTTGTGTGTGATTTTCATCGTCACGAAACATTCACCGCCAAAGCAGAAATGTCTGCACTCTTTCTTTAGAAATGAGTGGCCTTCATCGTTAACTGAGTCCCTAGCCATTTTGTTTGATGTTCCGGTCATGTATTCGTGCGTAGATGGTGGAAAAGCTTTGCTTTCTTTCATATTTATTTGTTAATACCTTTATTGAATGACAAAAATTAGCACAAGCTAAATTTTCTTTGCAAAAGTTTTTTTCAAATGCTAACTTGCGCTAGGGGGAAGTAAATTTGTTGGCAATTTTGAGCCCTTAAAATGGGAGGAAATTACCAAAAATGACTCAGCTCTTTTAGGGTTACAAGATGTTATAGTTAAGCACCATAGCTTCTCACAGTGATGCTTTGTCAAGACAACATATTTCGTGCAAGCATTTTAAGTGACCTTCTTAGACATTTTTATCCATTTGCTTGCAAGAAGTAATTTACGAAGCGTGTGTCACAAGAAGCCCTGTGCATTTTAAAAGTACCATGTATTTTGCAATACTTTCAAGCTTGGTTTTTTTTGTGTTTGTGTTTCTTTGTCTCTTTCAGTTTGTTCGCTGTGCTTGTGTTTGGTCTTCTTGTCTCTGAATCTTCTTTGCTTTTCTTGTTTCCGGTGTGTACATGTCTTTTAAGAGGATTTTTGTTGGATTTGAAAAGGTTCAAAATCTGAGAACTTGTAATCTAGAATATCTTTAGAATGTGATTTTAAAAGGTAGAAATGTAATTTTGTGACCCACTTAAGGAGCATTTTTATTTATCATTTCTGTGATAAATGTCATAAACAAAAAACCTGATTGATCGAAGTACTTTGTTGAGTGTTTCCACTTTCATTTCTGTTACAGATATGGAGAATCCTGAACTCAACTGTACCAATTTCACATATCCAACATCACCTGGTTTGCCGTCTGCTTCCATAGACTTTATTGAACCTACAGCCACTGATAATGTAGAAGTGTCAGTCGTAAATTGCTTCAAGGACGGGGGTCCTGTAGCCGCTGTACTCAGTGTTAATATTGGTACAGAGAGTGTGACTTGTGTAGCTCGGGATAACATGAACAATGTAGTCTCATGTGAAGTCTTCATCACTGTTGAGGGTGAGTTTACAAAGCATATTCCAGGATGTTTTGATATTCTTATTATAAGGGTTTGAATATTTTTCCTCATTTGTTATTTGCCACTGTCTATGCATGGTACACTTTCGGGTAAATTAACAGATGTGGGTAAAACGTGGTTGCATGGAAGCAAGTGATGAATTTGTCAAAGACAAGGACATTTTCAAACGGGTCTGGGATATAATTAATGTTAATTGCAGGTGAGTTTATGGTATCAACTTGCTCATTTTCCTGTGCTGATATTTTCCAGACACTGAATCTCCCAACATTACCTGTCCTGCCAACCGGAATGTTTCCACTGATGGTGGTCAAGATTTTGCCACATTAATCTTGCCCTCTCTGGACTCCGGTGTTGATAACTCAGGATATTTCAATGTCTCCATTGATGTTGCCGGTACCCAGTACAATGTTGGTGACCCTGTCATGTTGAGTTTGGCAGAGGGTGTGCATTTGGTGGAGTACACTGCAACCGATAATGCCACAAACAGTGAAATGTGTAACATGACTGTCACTGTTATTGGTAGGTATAATGTTCATTGAATATCGTAGCATAGAAGGCTTTTTATATTTTATAATTAAGGGTTTGTGTGGAGTACCCCAAGTCCTTTCATAAGCCCTGACGTTTTATTGTAATATATGTAGTCCTGTGAATCTTGCCCGACCTTTTGTGACCCTTTGAATGATGAAATGATGTGTTTATGTACAGATCTGACAGGCAACATTTGGAAAGATAGACCAGTCTTTTTTCATACTAGTACTCGGGGAGAGTTGTAGTCTCCAATTTGCCATGGGGAAAAAGCCCTTTGTGCATCAGGCTTCTGACTAAATCGTGGATCTGTATTCCTCCAAACAAATTCTGAAGTATAAATCACCAGTTTCTTGAAATATAATACTTGAACATCAGTGGCATAACCAGAGCTAAATGTCTGGGGGTTCTTAGGGGTTCACGCATTTTTTTTTTCAAGGGGACACCACAAGAAAATAAGCTGCAGTTGCATTTGAAGGAAGAATATTCACCGATTTCAAATGGGGGCACCTGGAGGGGGCATTGGCATGGGGAACGTGCCTCTCTGCAGTGACACCAACTGTTGAACATAGAAATTGTATTCAGTTGAACATCAAGAAATTGAATCTCACTCTTGACTAGGTTTTGACTTTAGTAAATATTGTTTTTGGTCCCTGTAAAGCCGTTCAAATTATACATTAGAAACTTTGCTCAAAGTCATCTGAATGGCTTGAGATAACAATTCAGTGAATAATAGAGTTGAGTAAGTAAGTGGGTGAAGTGGTTATCAATTCTGTTGTGTATATCTGCGCATTGAAATAAGTTTAAATTGTCTTAATGGTGGACAAAAAGCCTCAATTCTTTGTATTGACAGAAAATGAATCACCCAGTAAGTGACATTAATTTTCAATACTTTGCAATATCAGATGGTGAATCGCCTAATATCACGTGCCCTGCCAACGAGACAGTTCCCACTGATGGAGGCCAAGATTTTGCCACATATGAATTACCTCCTCTGAATGCTAGTGTTGACAACTCAGGATACTTCACTGTCTCTGTTGACGTTGCTGGCATGCAATATGAAATTGGTGACAGTGTTACCCTGAATCTGACTGAGGGCGTACATTTATTGCAATACACTGCCACTGATAATGCCACAAACAGTGAAATGTGTGATGTGTACGTCACTGTGACAGGTAGGTGTTTTTGGTCAATCATTTTGATTTCAAGAATGTGTGCTGCATTCATCAGAGTTTTAGTGAGTCCCTCTTCCGTGCTGTTCACCTCACCAATAGACATTACCGACATGTACTATGGTAAACAGTCTGATCCTAAATTTCTGTGAGCTTGGTTTACCCTGAAAGAGTCAGAGGGGGAACTGCCTCTCTCAAAATATTTTCTCATGTCGCTGAATTTCACTTTTTTTGAAGAGCTGAGCCTTTGGGAATTTTTACATACACTCTTTGCCGTCATTTTTGACTCTAGATTTTTTCCAAATCAATAAGTCTTCCAACATACATTTTCATCTTTTTTGAGTAAATAAGACAAACTTTTCAAACAGCTACATTTTTGCCATTGTATAGTCAGTCACATGTCTTCAAATTTGACTCACTTTCTTTCATTTTTGTCAGATGATGAAAACCCTATGATAGAATGCCCAGGCGACATTGAAGTAGATGCTGACATGGGAGAGAACTTTGCCATTGTGGATTGGTTTCCACCCAATGTGACTGATAACTCAGGGGAATCCATAACACCGATGCTGAGCCATTCTTCAGGAGATCAGTTCGGAATTGGTCCAACCATAGTGATTGTCAATGCTACAGACTCTCATTCAAACACTGCTTTGTGTAACTTCACTGTCAATGTTCTAGGTAGGTCTGTGATCAGTGACCAGCATATTTGTAGCAGATATATCCCTGTGACATTCCATTCAAGATGCTGAGAAGAACAAATGGCCAATTTTATCTGGTTTTGGACTTATTTGTTTAAAGATATAGACAGAGAGGCCTCTTACATGCATATGATGGCTACTGCTTTGGATCTGGACATTGCCCTGGAAATGAAATCAGTCACAGTGAAGTGTTGCAAATCCAACAACCTTGATGCCACAGTGTTTGAGATATCAATATATGCTCCAGTTTATAATCTGTTTTATTGATTAGTTCTCTTGGGAAATTGATTCTGAATGTGATTTTACTCAAGCAAAATGACCTGTTTCTGATTCTTGTTCAGAACAGTTTTCTAACTGAGAATGGTTTGAAGGGTGTCCCTATAAAGTAACATGGTTGGTGACAATTTTATACATAACAATGGGTTTCATGGTGATTCTAAGTTGGAATTGGTTTTAAGGTAGCCCAAAGCTGACCAATTTGTACTGTAAGTCTTCAACACTGCCTTTTTTGTGTGTACTTTCCAAATCTTTTCACGAATGTCACTCCACTGATCATCCTGGAATAATTGTGATCGTGTATCAGCACTTAGACCGTGATTAATATTGCTTATGAGCTGGTTTTTTACAGTGAGAAGTTAAAAAAGTACACATTATATGTAATTGCAAAATTAGGTCCACATAGTGACAAGAAATATAATGGTTGGTTTTCTCTGTCACTTGCAGATAATGAGCCTCCTACCATTATGTGTCCAGCCAATCAAACTAATGCCACTGATTTCCGTGCTGCTGATGTCACACTTCCACTGCCTGATCCAGACTTGGCTTCTGACAACTCAGGCCAATATAACATCACCATTGATGTCGCTGGTAAAACATATCGTGTCGGTGACAGTGTGACCCTTGACCTGGCTACGGGTGAACATTTACTGCGGTACACGATTTTTGATGCTGCCATGAATAATGATACATGCGACATGTACATCACTGTGATTGGTAAGTGCCGGTCTTAGTATTGATCTGTATACATGTAGAAAATGTAATAAACTTTCAAAGATCAGTTGTTAAGATATGGAATTTCCGGCAGCAGTCAAAGTTAAGACAATGCTGCATAATACGTGAATAAACACCTGAGCATTTTGAAAAATGAGCTTGACTTTTGCATTGTGGGCTTGGGGACCAGTGATAGCTGGATTGAGCATAACACTTTGTGGTAGTTATAGGCAGTGAAAGGTTTGTGTTGTCCATCTTCAAGACAACTGATCCTAGATACAGCCACCTGCCAACAACTGCCAAATGGGAATCTATCAGGAACTTTGTTTTCAGTACAGCATATATCCAAACTGTTTTTACAGCCATCTGAACCATTCCGGGACTTCATTTCCATTTTCTAATTCTAAGCTGTTTCTACTATTATTGTATTGACGGAATGGAAGTATATGTCTTGCTTGAAGCCCTGATTTTACTGTGTATCTTCCATTTCATTTTCAGATACTGAGGATCCTCAAATTACCTGCCCTTCACTTGGACCTGTTTCTACTGATCCTGGCTTGGACACTGCCAATGTGACCTTTGACTCGGCCAATGTGACTGATAACTCCATGCTGTCTATTACACCTGTAGCCAATCCAATGTCAGGTTCAATCTTTCCTATTGGTGACACTCCAGTACAGTTCAATGCTACAGATGAGAGCGGGAACACTGCGTCCTGTACATTTACTTTAACAGTAGAAGGTACCTGCTAAATATAAGCGATTCTTGAATCAAATTTCTGAGAGGACTTATAGAAGCTGAAATTGCTATTGAAATGCTTGCCAAACTCAAACTGAACGAAAGTTATCCATAACCCAAGCTTGCATTGTGTGCAAGTTTGAAAAGTGGGCCTACCGATATTGCTTGCTACCGTGAAATATTTCGTAATGAAACACATTATAACAGGAATAAATAAAATCAAGTTTAACAATGGTATTTTACCGTAGCTTTTCTGTTTGTCTTCGGTGTTCCAGCCATTGGCAGATGGGATCGCCACAAAGTCCGTATGATGTTAATGTGCAAAGTATTGTGCAGATTGCTATTGACATTGTCGCATGCATTGTGCTCCAGTATATCAGGCATGCTGCTGTGTTCCCCTGATATCAGTGAATGTGACTGAAACTTTCAGGTGTGAGCGTGCTCGTTGGGCGATATTTTACATAAGTGTACGCATGTTTTTGCAGCGAGTGTAAACATTCACAGAATAGTGGGATTTCTCTAGCCATTGCTTCAGTTTTGTGCATGATTTTCATCGTGAAATGTTCACCACCAAAGCAGAAAAGTCTGCACTTTTCTTTTTAAATTTGATCTGAGTGGCCATCATCGTTAACTAAATCCCTAGCCATATTGCTTGATGTTCCGGTCATGTATTTGTGCGTAGATGGTGGAAAAGCTTTGCTTTCTTTCATATTTATTTGTTAATACATTTATTGAATGATAAAAATTAGCACAAGTGAAAGTTTGTTTGCGCAAGTTGTTTCAAATGCTAACATATGCTGAGGGAAAATGGTTTTTTTTTTTTGTTTAATTTTCAGCACTTAAATTTGGAGGAAATTACCAGCTGTTTTAGGTTTATAAGATGTTATAGTTAAGCGCCACAGCTTCTCACATTGATGCTTTGTCAAGGCAACATTTTTATCCATTTGTTTGCAAGAAATAAGTTCACTGAGAAACTTCTGTCGCAAGAAGCCCTTTACATTTTGAAAGTATTCTGTTTTTACAGTACTTTCAAGCTTGTTGTTGGTGTTTATTCGTCTCTTTCGGTTCCTGCTCTATCTTTTATTTGGTCTTCATGTCAGAATCTTCTTCGCTTTTCTTATTTCCTGTGTGTACATGTCTCTTAAGAGTATTTTTGTTTGATTTGATGTTCCTTCTGTTTGTTTTTTGAGGCTCAAAATCTGAGAACTTGTAACCTAATTTTTTTTAATGTGATTTTAAAATGTAGCTACAGCAAGTTGCACTTAAAAACGTAAGCATTTAATTTGAGGAAAAGGCCATGCAACATACTTTTTTTTGGGGGGGGGGGAATTTTCAAGTAGCTACATCTTTGCCATTGTGTAGTCAGACCATGAAGCCTGAACTTTCAATCAGTTTAAATTGTCATCACTGAGTGAACATGATTTTCTTTCATTTTATCAGATGATGAAATCCCCATGATAGAATGCCCAAGCGACATTGAAGTACATGTCGACATGGGAGAGAACTTTGCCACCGTGGACTGGTTTCCACCCAATGTGACTGATAACTCAGGGGGATCCATAACACCAATGCTGAGCCATTCTTCAGGGGATCAGTTCCCAATTGGTCCAACCATAGTGATTGTCAATGCTACAGACTCTTATTCAAACCTAGCTTCATGTAACTTTACCGTCAATGTTCTAGGTAGGTCTGTCATGGTGATCAGTGCTCAGCATTCAGCTGTGGCAGATATATCCCTGTGAGATTTCCATTCATGGTACTGAGAAGATGGCTAAATATTCATCTTGTTGCATACTAATAATTTGTTGACAATTTCATCACCTTAATGATGATCATTCTGGAATGGAGAGGCTTTGTAAAATGGGTGACAGCTGCCACTTTGGATCTAAATATTGCCTTTGAAATAAAATCCACAACGGTTACTGCTGGAGACCGACAATCTTATATACACGTAGATGACACAGTCTGTATTATAGCATATTATAGTGTTTTTTTTTCAGTTCCTTTGTTATTTCCCCTGAAATATGAATAATTGATACTGAACATGATATTTGATCAAGAGAAATGTAATTTCCCCCCATTTTTTAGATAATGTGATTGATCAGAAAGTTTTTCTAATTGAGAATCCTGAGAAGTACTGTGCAATGAACCTTATGATCCTTAGAGGTCTTTTGAATTTGGGACCAAAACGTCAAACGGTCAAGGTCACAATGGCTAAAACAATATAAATCTGGTTAGCTATAACTTGAGAAATACAATGTATTTAAACTTCAACTTTGGTTTGCGGATTGCTTTTGACGATTCTTAGAAGCCTACTGAAGTAGGGACCAGAAGTCAAGATCACAATAGCTAAAACGATAGAAATCTTGTTAGCATGGTCAAAACTCTGCTTGTAAACTTCAAATTTGGTTTAAGGATTGCTGTTGGTGTTCCGTAGAAGCTTATATTGCATTACACCCTGAAAGGTCAAGGGTAGAGGTTGCAATGGCTGTTGAAAGTTAGGTGTTGGTTCCAAGCGTTAAAGGTGTGGGTTAGGCATAGCCTAGGTGGACATTTGTTTTGCTAACAAATCAGTCTTGTTGCTTTCAATGAAATCCTTCTCAATATTTATCCTGGAATAATCATGATGCTATATTTGCATTTGTACCAATGAATATAGGCCATTTTCCAATACTCAACTTCGGCTCCGTCTCAGGCTTCAACTGTTTTTTAACTAGGTGACGTTGAATCTGTAAGCACAGTAATTAGTTTAATAGTGCTACAAAATATCAAAAAAGATGCAAGAGAGCCAGAAATTACAGTAATCCAATTTAATTTAAACGCTTCAGGCCCACAATCGGGGATTGGTTTTGGGAACGAAGCCTGAGACGGAGCCCAAGTCGAGTATTGGAAAAGGGCCATAATATTGCTTATGTACTGAATGTAATGAAGAGGACTTTACAATGAGAACTGAAGAAGTGCATGGTACATGTAAGTGAAATATCAGGTGCATTCGATAACTAGAAGTAAGAGGATTTGTTTTCTCTTTCATGTGCATATTAACTCAAGCTTGTGTCAAGCACATTACAGTGTCCAAATTGCATTTTTATCTCTGCCTTACGCTATCTGAAGTCAGGAACTGAGTCATTATTATCGGTGAAATGCACGGTTGAGGTTTAATAACACAATTTAAGAAATATTTGTCTTTATTTTTTAGTTGCCATTTGTGGTTTGGTATTTGGAAACGAAAAAGAACAAAAAGAGCCTTCTTCAGTGTTTTGTGACCAACAGAAAAGGCCGTTTCAGAGTGGATGTATGCATTACTTATCTTATCTGGCTACTCTGACCAACTCTAACTGGCACTTTGCATAGGTTTTCAAACTTTTGCCTTAAGTCCTCTCCTGTTTGGCCACACCTAGCCGCAGGAAATTAGGCAGGAGGTTATGGGCTTGAGTCCTAGTAAGCGTATGAAAGTTTTCGCAAGTTTTTAGACAAACACTGAATATACAATATTGCATACATACTTTGGTGTGAGGGCAAAACCTGTTGTAAAAATAAACATCTCCCTGATGCAAGTAGATCTTTTAACCACAGTTTTTTTTTAGGATTGTTGTTAACACTGTATTTCACATATACTTTAATAAGTTCAACTAAGGGATGAGACCTATCAAGATTTCTCCTGCTTTCAGGATTTTTTCATCAGGATTGTCTTTATTTCAGGACTATTCAGTCTTTTTTTTTTCTTTTTTCAAGATGTATTTTTGCGTTGGGAAGATATTAATTTATGTAACAGTTTCGCCCTTACCTAACGTATATTAACAAGCACTGTATGCTCAGTGCTTTTCCGAGAGCTTGCGACAAAAAAATATCTCTCAAGCTTACTCGGGTGGGACTCGAACCCACAACCTCCTGCTTACTAGTGCAGATATCTTAGCCACTAGACCACCGAGCTTGCCGGGGTCGGCTGACCAGTCCGAGTCAAGTGAAGCAAACTATTTTTCAAGATGTATTTTTGCATTGGGGAGATGTTTATTTATGTAACGGGCAAAACTCGTTACATAAACTATTCACTCTATTAAAATCTAAATAAGGTGTTTATATGTGTAAACGTTGGTGTTGAATACTTGGAATTGGTATTTTATTAAGGGTCTGCGGGGTACTCCTCAAAACCTAATTTGGTGATTATTTTGTCAATACTTCATTTTCCTCTAATCTCCTTGTCCAGCTGCAAGCCACTCACGTGATCACACTGAAGTAACATTACAATCTGCTCTCTTTGATGTTTCAATTTGGGGAAATCACGGAAATCTCTATTCCTTTTGTTGTCATTCAGATGCTGTACCGCCCAATATTACTAGTTGTCCGGGAAACGACACCGTCTCTACCAGGCTTGACAGTCCCTATGGGTTTCCCACCTGGATGGATCCTACCGCCGTAGACAACTCTGGTTCCGTCGTGGTAAATTGCTCCAAACAGTCTGGAGACGCGTTTGATATTGGAATTACGACCGTCGTTTGCACAGCCGAGGATCCAAGTAATAACACAGATATGTGTTCATTCATCATTACAGTTGAGGGTGAGTTTCTCAATATTAAGACGTGGGAGTTAAATGCTTAGAAAGGAACTTCTTGATGACAGTGTTTACAATCATTTCATGAATTGACTTTGCTCTGCAGAATGGATCATTTACACATTCATGTATCAATAAATTGTTTCCATTGTACTAATGTCAAACATTCATTGTTTATTTTACACATTTCCACCTGATTGAATGCCTGCATCACCTGTGAATTGGAATTTCATGTTTGGTGGATCTGTTGACCTCAGCGACATGGATTATAATGCTACTTTTGTTGAATAACTACACAATGGCATGAATAATTCAATGATGTAATGGATGGTCCACCAATCAGATGGCAGCAATTTATTCAGACCTTGTGTGTGGAGAAAGGCTGTACACTTTATGTGTTCAATTGTTTTGTATGTGACAGATAACCAGTCTCCTACTGTGATATTCTGTCCGGGAAACATTAACAAGCAGACTGACCAAGGCCTAGCCACAGCCATCACGACTTTTGGACAACCGACAGGAGCAGATAACGACGGGATACCAATTGTCCCAGTCGGTTCCCACACAAATGGTTCTGCATTTGACCTTGGAGTGACCCAAGTCTCGTTCTCCTTCATGGATTCCAGCGGTAACGTTGCATATTGCAACTTCACCGTCACAGTCGTAGGTGAGACATCCACTTAATGGAGCAAATGTTGGTAATTGCAGGTGTTAGCAAAATATGTGAAAAATCGTGTTACGGTCTACAGGATAACATGTTCACTGCTAATAAAGGATCACTCAGTAATCGCTAATATTGTTTGCGGCAACTCTTCTTGGTACCTCAGCCAGCAGTATACAGCTAGTCAAAAATCACCCTACAATACATTTTCAGTGACAGACTGATTTCACATCTGTGTCTACCCTTTGCTCAGTGTTCCATTGGAAAGATTATAATCAAGGCCACATCAAAGTCATTGATTTTTACCCATTGATGTACATTTTGCTCCCCTTCCCCAAAAGTAGTATGTATTGAAGAATGTATTAGTCCGTTTGTTTTTACTTAAGCTTTTTGTATTTAATTTCTTAATTCTATGTGTTTTTAATAACTTTTCCTCCTTTTTTCTTATTAACATTTTTACTTCCCTTTCTAATACCCTGATTGTAAATTTGCCGTCAATTCAGTCCTCGGGCTGCGACGGGAAAGTTCAATAAACCAGAATAGATAAATAAATTAATTAATTAATTTTAAAAAGTAACATTGGCAGGTGTGAATTATGGTCGAAGTGCAAGGTAATTTATATCTCACATCATGCCCTCTCATTTGATATCCTTTCCGCGCAGAAGAAATGTCTCCTGGCAGCCAACTGAACCTTTGCATCACAAAGTGGTTCAATACTCATTTTTTAATTCTGTCTGACTGGACCATTTCTGGTAACTGGAGCTATAGTGTAGGTAGTGATTAACACTGTAGTTCTCAAATCTGAAAGGGTAGGAAGGCCTTAAGTGAATTATACTCAAACCTCAACTTTTGTCTATTTTGTGCAGATAATGAAGTTCCTGTCGTGGAGAATTGTCAAAGTAATGTCACACTGTATGTGCCGTCCAACTCAAACCAGCTGAGAGCAATCTGGCCATTCCCCAAAGCCACTGACAATGCAGGACCACCAATGGTCTTCAATGCCACCTACACGGAAATCACAGTGGTGAGCCGGAGTCCTGTTTATGTTACCATTGACTGGCAAGTTGGGTTTGAAACGGTCACCCTCTTCCACATCGGATGCTATCGGAGTGTCATCAGAGTACAGGATGACGCTGGCAACGTTGCCGAGTGCAACACCACAGTGTGGATTTTTGGTGAGTATGTGGATCAAAGGGCTGCAAGTTGTCACTTGCATCAACTCGAGGCTCCAACCATTCCTACTGCAACATCTTGTTCTTGAGTCAGACTCGAGGTTGAGTCAAACAAAGTTCCTGATCCTTCTAGAGTTGTGCTTCATACATATGCATGTACGTGTAAGAGACATATAGGCTCATTTTAGGAGACAACGTTCTGGAACCACAATTACATGTTCTTAAGCTCTTCATATTGGATTTTCTTCCGCAAAAAAGCTTAGGAGGAGTTTTTTCTTTATAAATTCTTCAACCTTGCAATTTCACAACACATTGATACATTGATCATGGGAGTGAGCCCCCAGATAGAGGGGTTGGGGGAGGAGCAAGTTGTTGATTTATTTTCATTTTATTTATGTTTTTGTAGAGCCAAGTGCCAATACTTCTGAAGCTGTTAACCACCAACCGGGGGGGGGGCAGGTTGCATGGCACTGAGGAAATTTTTGAATGGAAAATACTTTGGCCATCATGTAGTGGAAACAAAATTCCATTCAAAACCTGGATATGCCACGAACCAAAATAAGGTTGCTCCTTGCATGAACCACCTGACCTAAGGGATTGCACAAAAAGTACATTGAATCAGTACAAGAGGTGGTTTGTGTTGAACATAAAGATGGTAAAATCCAACAATAGAGCATTGCGATACCTTTGAGACCTTTTCAATGTTTGTTCCAATGTTATATCAGTCTAATAAAATATAATCCATTGACTTGTTTGTGGCCCTTTGCAGATTTAATCCCGCCTGTGTTTGACGTTTGCCCCCCTGTACTTGATGTAAGCTATCCAACCGACATGAACCTCCCATCAGCCGTCGTTAATTGGACTCCACTTAGTGCCAATGACAACACCGGGGGACCAGTAACACTTGTCCGTAGCCACATGACAGGGCAGGCGTTTGACATCGGGGTGACAACAGTGACGGTGAATGCTACCGATGAAAGTGGCAACCTGGCGACGTGCGTCTTCAACATTACTGTGGTCGGTAAGGCTCAACACTGACGTGTGAGATTGTTACTTGTTGCTATGTGATATAGACCAATCCAGTGACAGCTTTCTGCCACGTTTTGTCAGGATGAAATGAGTTTATGAGCCTTGAGCTTGATCAGTGGTGCAACTTTTTGGCAATGGAGGCTCGTTTGGTCAAAACTGAACTTTGTTGTTTCGGAAGCAACAATGAAATGAACATGTTCTTCTCCACCAATGTCATTTTTAATATCTCCTGTTAGTGGATTTGGTCCATTCTTTGTCCAAATGACAAAGACTTGAACAGTCTCTTACTCTAACTACTTGCCTTGTCCGGCTATCATGGCTGTAATTATTTTCACTTCTAACCATGGATTTTCCAACTATTACTTGTCTTATTTGTACTAACAGACATGCAGCCTCCATCTATTACTTGTCCTGGTCCTACCATCATGGCTGACACAAACTCCGATCAAAGTGTCGCTAATGTAGACTTTACTGCTACCGCCTCTGACAATAGTGGGAAGTGGATGTTGTCTTGCACCCCTCCTTCTGGGTCCAGCTTCTCCATTGGGGTGAGCAATGTCACGTGTGTTGCCACCGATTTGGCAAATAATCGTGTCAACTGCAGCTTTGCAGTTATGGTATCAGGTGAGTGGTTGTTTCTGTTGTCACATGCTTTCAGTAGAAGCATTCTTGTACTTTCCACTCTGTGTACTTTAGTTCTGGATGTCTCTCCGATCAGAAATGAATGACGTGAATTCCTTCAAGGCACCGTGTAATCTTTGGAAGACAGAACATAATTTCAGCCCCCATATATTGACACACTATTCTCTATTGTTGGCAGGCTGTAGCCACTGTTGAGGTGGACCCCTTTTCATGGGTGTGAGAGTTCAGCTTTTTAGCTGTGTTCAGTTTTTGAGTTTAACTGGGCTCACTCCCCTGCCTTTTACATGAATAGGCCAAACTCCTAAAAGTGTCCAGTGTACATGAGTACTCAATGCTCAAAAGTGTAGTCACCACAAAATGTCCGAAACCAAGCACGTACGACATTCAAGGCAGAAAGAAAGCACTTTGGGTATTGCTTCTAATTCAGGTCAGCAAATCAGTTGAAATGCAAAAGTTTTGACTTTTCAGGCATTCCTGAAACAAAACTTTTTCATTTACATAATAGGTTGAAAAAAGTTGCCTGGATAGACATAAAAGCTGTTCTTACTTTCTGTGGAGTTTTAAGGCTGAAAATTCTTTGCATATCTTCAGAAGGTGCACTTAATGCTTTTCAAGATTCATTTTATTGACAGACCAAGAACTGACTTTCAGTGCTACTCAAGTGCATTCCTTCAGCATGAAAGTTACTTTAACATGTCATTTTGGTTTTCACAAATTGCTAGCTGAGTACTGTGTGTACAGGGCATTTTGGTTTCATCCAGTGAATCTTTTCTTTTCTTCTTTTATTCTTTTCTTTTTAAAACTTAAAAGGTTTGAAAGCATATTAAATGCTGTGTTACTCCAAGAGTTGAACAACTCCATGCAAAACTTGTTGAAGCTTATTTCTCCAGAGGGGATATCTCTGCTCTATGTGCGACAGTGTTTGACATGTGTGTGCACCCACGGTGTTGTTAATTTCGTAAAACCAAAATTGTTTGTTTCACCTTTTTACAATGTGTCTGAACAGGGCCCATGCATTTCAGCTTGTGCTATGATCATGTCCTCATGCCTGCAGATAATCAGGACCCGGTTTTACAAACCTGCCCCCCCCTCCCCTGATATCACACGCAGCGAGCCATGGGAGAATTTTTTGGGCCAACTCTGCCATTGCAGTCAGTGGTGAAGAAGTCATGCAAACGCGGGCTAGTGGTTAGAGTTTATGATTCATGAACACAGGGTCTAGGGCTCAGACCCAGTGCTAGTTATGTGTCCTACCCTGTGGCAAATCACTTCCCTTTACCTCTCTCTGTCCAGGACTAAAGTGCATACTGAGATGATTTTAGCAATGTTTGTGACCTATAGAGCAAGGATAATAAAAAGCGCCCTCTATGCCTGGTAACGGGTGATATCTGCAGTCATGATTAGTATGGTTAAATCCAAGTACAGAAATTGCCTGTACATAAATATAGTTCAAGATAAACCTTCATTATGCACAAAAATACCAACAAAATGGAACTTAAAAGAAACAGCATCAACCTTCCATTGCTGTAGTTGGCATGACTGGATGTAACAACAATCCCTGTGCCAATGATGGAACGTGCACCCCAGTCGGTAGTAACGGCTTCGTCTGTGCGTGTACGGCAGCCTGGATGGGCACAACCTGTGAGGAAGGTAAGACGAACGTCGTGAGAAGCTCCAAGTGTGTTGGACTCCGATGTGTACAGCTAGTCTACCCCTTCCTCAATGCAAATATAAATGCTATTTGGTATTTGCCCTGTGTGCCTAGGATCCATGCATATGCTCTAAAATTTGCATAGGGCACTTTTCCCAGCAAACAAAATACATGCCCTCATCATGACCAGTGCTATGGACATGCTTTGTGAATGTAATAATTTAATTTAAGCTGGTCACATTTTTTTTAATTCTAAGTTCCAACATCATCCTAGAAAATCCTCTGTTGACATCCAGGGCTTATTGTGAGTCTGGACACGACATTCACTGTGGGGTGATTTTCACAGTGCAGGTGTACATAATATGTATTACACTCTTGCAGAACCTTACATCAAAACAGCGTATTTAATGCTTTAACAATTTTTTTCCCTTTTTGAGTGCTTTGGTTGCTAAAATTTGGTTGTTGGGAAGTCCAAACTATGAAAAGGGGTGGGAGATGATTTTCACACCCCTGCACGTTCATCTGGACTGCAATATTTCTTGCTTACAGATTTTGACGAATGCACCTTGGCGGCTAACATACAGGACTGCTCAAGCAGGGGCATCCGATTTTCTTGCGTCAACCAGCTAGGAGGTTACAACTGTAGATGCATAATTGGCAATATCACTCCTAGAAACTCCAACAACTGCATTCGTATGTCACTTTGAGTCTTCAGTAGTATCTACAATAAAAACAGATCTAGGGAGGTAGAGGGATAGCTAGCATGCTGCCTGATGATGTTGTCATTTTTGGGCAAAACGCCTTTTCTATTCAGCTTTCAACTGGTTGTTCATTAATGTTAAGAGTGACGGTTTCTCGTAGATGAGTAAAATACATTTGGGGTGCCTGTTCCATTCCATAAACACTGGGTTGGCCACTGTACAGATTGTTCTCAGGACTTTTGCTCGACATTTGCACGTTCATAGTCAAAGTTCCTGAACAAGTTGATCTGAAATTCTAACAAGCTGCAGAGGAAGAAGAATAGCCAGAAGATACCAAACAATCAAATTCAAAATGAAATGTATAATTACCACATATCATGATGTTTCTTCAAACAATGCACCCATGAAAGCCTTAGGGCATCCGAAATCTGACATTTGCCATGAGCCTGTGGGCCTGTTTGTTTCACAGGGATCTGGATTGTTATCAGTGATCCTGTACTTTCTGGTTGGATCCATCCATCCATCAATGATCCAAAGACAGATATCTATGTTTGCGATTTGCATCCGCCTGAACCAGTCAAGACCGTGCTGTGCTCTCATGCAAAAGAACGTAATGTCCTCAACAGTTGATACTTCCCCCATGTGAAAATTCAAGGTCTGCCCTCGAGGAAGTAAATCTGTTCCTCCTCCTCTGCTGCTTTATTACAGCACCCCTTGATTGCTTCACTTCTATCCATACCCTGCCGTTTTTTCCATGTCACAGTGGGTCGACGTTTTAGGTTTGTTTTCTTCATCGCGGGGATCAGTGGCCAGAGGGCAGTGTTTTCCCCTGACCTGAATGATCGCACTTCTGTTGCATTCCTGCGCCTCCGAAGCCGTTTGGAAGTCTTGGTAAGATAATTGCGACTTCCACTCGGATGTCCATCTGCTTTCCTC